CAGTGGAAGAAAAAAGAATCTTTTAAAAAATTCAGAGAATCAAATCAGCACAAGGAGTTTGGTTGGAAGATAATAATCTTATGGTGGAGGAAGCACACTCCTTCTATACCCAGCTATTTTCCTGGAGGAAAAGTGAGAGCCCAGAAACCTTTATTGCTAATATCCCAGCTAACAGTGCTGCTGGACCTGATGGCTACACAAGGGAATTTTTTAGGAGCTGTTAGAGTATAATAAAAGAGGATGTCACAAAAGCAATCCAGGAATACTTTCTAGGAATAATTATTCCCCAACCCTTGGCCTCTTCCAATATCATCCTTATACCCAAAAAAGATAACCCCTGCTCCTTTGAGGACTTTAGACCTATCTGCTTATCAAACTTCATTGCAAAGGTCATCTCTAAACTCTTGGCCATGAGATTAAGCAAACTATTACCCAAAATTATATCCAGGGAGCAAGGAGGATTTGTTAAAGGGAGACACATCCATGACCAAATCCTACTGGCACAAGAACTTATTCATGGTATTGACTACAAAACTAGAGGAGGTAATTTGGCCATCAAATTGGATATGTCCAAAACTTTTGACAGAGTTTCCTGGGACTATTTAGAGAAAATCCTTCATAAGTTTGGCTTTGAGGAACACTTCAGAACTCTAATTTTCAACAACTTGAAAGCAACCAAACACTCCATCTTCATTAATGGATACCCCACAAAGGCCATCAAACCGAAGAGAGGACTAAAGCAAGGGGACCTTTCTCCTTTACTCTTCATCATTGCAGGAGAAGGTTTCAGCAAAAGCCTCAACACTCAGATTTACTCCAACCAGATGGGCCCCTATGCTTTAGGGAGACACTACCAACCCATTTCTCACCTTGCTTTTATTGATGACCTCCTCATTTTTCTAAATGGTTTAGCCCCAAACCTAATCAAGTTCTCTAAATTCCTCAAAGCTTATGAGGAAGCATCAGGTCAGGCCATCAACCAAAATAAATGCTTTTTCTATCTTCCTCCAAACTCCCCCACTTCTACAGCCAGTAAAATGGGAAGTATCCTGAAGATGAACAAAGGGTCCCTTCCTTTTAAATATCTGAGAGGTTAAATTCATAGAGGAATTAACAGGAAAATGTTCTGTTCTGATTTACTTCTTCATTTTGACAAAAAACTCCAAGGTTGGCACAAAATTGCTTTCTCACAGTGGTAGAATGATTCTCATAAAGCATGTTCTCAGTGCTATCCCTATACATACTGTTGGGTGCTCTAGACTTCCAAAAAGTGTGGTTCACTCTCTGAACATGAAAATGAGTAGCTTCCTCTGGGGAAGAAAAGAAGCTAAACCCAATTACCACTGGACTAAGTGGGACACCATCTGCCTTCCTAAAGAGGAGGGTGGACTTGGCTTCACAAGTTTGGAAACCTTCCAAAGTGCTTTTTAATTGAAAATGTGGTGAGCTTATACTTCCAAAACCTCCCAATGGTCTCATTTCATGCATCAAAGGTATCCCAGAGGTTTTTCCAGCCCACCCAAACCCACTGACTCCCCCATCTGGAAAAGACTTTACCAAACAAATGAAAAACCAAAGATATCCTAAGCATTGATGTGAACAACCACCTATCCTGGAGCAATGGTCTTTCTGGCTTCACTTTACGGGCTGCTAAAGAGGTAGTGAGAGAAAAAAATACTCCCAATACATTTCTCATAAATGTGTGGAACAAAAATCAATATCCTAAAGTCTCCTTTTTCCTCTGGAGACTCTACAATCACACTCTTCCCTTCCCCCAACAGCTAACAAAATTTAATCTTTGTCTCCCTTCCATTTGTTTACTTTGCAGGAACAATGAAGACACATCTAATCACACTTTCAAAGATTGTTCTTTCAACAAAGCAATCTGGAATGAATTCGAATCCCTCTTCTTCATCACAAAATCAACAACACATGGGATAAGAGCTTACCTCGCGACATGGTGGCAGCAAACAACTTCTAGCCACAATTACACAGCCAAGCTTATCCTTCCAGGAATAATCACCAACGATATCTGGAAAGAAAGAAACCGCAGACTTCATGATTAAGATCAAAAAAAAAGCTTTCCAAATTACTCAAATGATTTGGAAGAGACTCATAGAATGGGCAGCGATTAACAAAGTGAAACTCAGCTTAAACCAACAAAACCTACCACTGATTCACACACTGGTAGTCAAAATCCTCAGATGGGAAGGCAAAGAAAATGGAGTGATTCTCAGCACAGACGTTGCAACAAAAGATGGACTAATGGCGGGAGGAGAAATTCTCCGATCTCACACATGCGCTTTCATAGCCGGAAAGAGTGCTTTAGTCACAGGTAACAACTCCCTTGAAGGAGAAGCAGTAGCGGCAACAATGGGTACAACTTGGGCGGCAAATTTAGTCATAGGTCCTATCCATCTCAGGGTGGACTCTAAGACCTTAGTCAACGAAGTCAAAAATAATCCATGCTCAAGAAGAAACTTGCAAATTATTCATTCAAATTTGGAGGAAGTCCAAGGTTCATTAAGGCATATTTTTCGGGAGGAAAACACAGCAGCTCATAACCTCGCCAGATATGCTCTGGTCAACGATGTTCTTTCAGAGTTAATTTTTGCTCACTCCCAAAAACTGTTAGGGGAGCAATCAATTGCGACATTTCTTGTATCAACTTTCCTATACTCTAATTATCAATAAAAATCTTCTTTTATATATATATATATATATATATATATATATATATATATATGTTAAAAGCAGAAGAGCCAATAACAAGATTAGAATTATCATTAACAGTGAAGGGAGAGAGATCTCAAACATGAGGGAGATTAAGGAAATTGCTGTTAATCACTACAAGAAACTTTTTGGATGTCCTACACATATTCAACCTCAGACTATCCTGGACTTCATTCAACCCTCCATCACTAATGAAGATAATTCAAGAATCTGTAGACTTCCCCATGAGGAGGAAATAAAAGAAGCTATTTGGGGTTTGGATCCAGGTAGTGCACCTCGTCCGGATGGTTACAATGGAAATTTTTTCAGGTCCACTTGGAATCTAATCAAAACTGATGTCATCAGTGCCTCACAGGAATTCTTCTTGGGGATCCCTGTACCAAAATCCTATGGCAGCACTTTTATTAGCCTTATCCCAAAAAAGGATAACCCCAAAACATTTAATGATTACAGACCCATTTCTCTGTCCACTTTCATGAGCAAGGTAAACACTAAAATCCTTGCTAACNTGGGGTTTGGATCCAGGTAGTGCACCTGGTCCGGATGGTTACAATGGAAATTTTTTCAGGTCCACTTGGAATCTAATCAAAACTGATGTCATCAGTGCCTCACAGGAATTCTTCTTGGGGATCCCTGTACCAAAATCCTATGGCAGCACTTTTATTAGCCTTATCCCAAAAAAGGATAACCCCAAAACATTTAATGATTACAGACCCATTTCTCTGTCCACTTTCATGAGTAAGGTAAACACTAAAATACTTGCTAACAGGCTTCAAAAAGTGCTTCCCAAAATTATCTCTAAAGAACAAACTGGCTTTCAACAAGGAAAAGGCATTGATGAACAAATCCTATTAGTGGAGGAAATGGTTCATAAAATTGATGCTAAGGTCAGAGGAGGTAATTTCATTATAAAGTTGGATATGGAGAAAGCTTTTGATAATCTGGAATGGGATTATATCCAGCTGATTTTGAGGAAATTTGGATTCTCTCATAATGCTCAGAGACTCCTCATGGCTAATTTATACTCTACTCACTTTTCTCTCCTAATCAATGGAAGTCCTACAGGTTTTTTTCAGATGAAAAGAGGGGTAAAGCAAGGTGATCCCCTCTCCCCTATTCTCTTTATTATTGCAACAGAGGGTCTCTCTAAGGCACTGAAAAGTCAGATGGAGCAAGGAATTATTTCCCATTACAACACTGGCAAGGACAGCCTGGTAAGCCACCTAGCATTTGCAGATGATATCATTTTATTTTGTAATGGAGAGGCTAACAATCTTAAGAAAGTTAAAGACCTTCTGCAGAACTATATGAAAGGGACTGGGCAAAAAATCAACTACTCCAAAAGCAAATTCTATTGTGGCAAAGGTTATAATGCTGAGGCTATGCAGAGAGCACAAACAATCCTCAACATGAACAAAGAAACACTTCCTTTCAAGTATCTGGGTACCCCTATTTGCAGGGGAGTTATCAAGAAGCAAGATTGTGGGGAAATACTTGACCATTTCAACAATTATATTGATAAGTGGTACAATAAGGTTTTGAGTCAAACTGGTAGAATGATTTTAATCAAACATGTGCTTTCTACTATACCACTTCATCATATGGCAGTTCATCAGCTTCCTAAGTCAGTTATATCACACCTCAACAAAATNTCTATTTTCATGAGGGGAAAATATAGTACCACTTGTTTTAGAGAGAAACTCACTGATTCTCCTATCCGTAAAAGAATTTGCAGAATAAACTCTATAGCTGAAGAGCTTTTGGGGGACATTACTCCTGAGCAAGATGATGATGGGTACTCAGAAGTGGTCCAAATTTCTTTCAAGGAAGCCTATAACCACTGCAGACCACACTACTCTATCACTCTCAACGACAAATATAATTGGGACCACCTTCAACCTATCAAAAGCCAGTTGTTCCTTTGGAAAGTTAACTACAAGCTTTTGCCTTTCCCTGAGAATATTACCCACATCTATAACTCACTCCCCTCTCATCGCCCTAATTGTCTCAAAGATGATGGGAGTATGGACCATTGCTTGCTACATTGCCCTATGATTCATGGTTTTTGGAATGAACTTGCTCTCATTCTTGACGGACCCACTCCTACAGAAGGTATCACACTCCAACAACATATTCTTGAGTGGAATATGAGATCTTCTAACTCATTCAAGGGGAAGCTTAGACTTATTGCTCCTGGTATTATTGCTTGGTCTATTTGGAAGAACTATGCTAGCAACATATTCGGCAATAAAAAGGAAATAATCGCGAACATGAAGCATACAATTCAATACAATATTTACTTGTGGTGTTGGAAATTTCGAAGAAAAAAGTGGATGATTAAGGACACCAACCTTACAGATGAAAGTCTTCAATACTTTGCACTCACCGGGAACTTCATTTGCAACTACTTCGCTGAGATCGGGGAAGAAGTCGACGTATGATTATAATCTGGAACTTTTTGGGCCTTGTTAGTTTTTATTTGTCTACTTTTAGCACTTTGTATCTTCTTTTGCCTCTTTTACCTTCGGGTTTCGGTCTAGTCCCCCCGAACGTGATCTCTCTTGTACTCCCTCCCCCCGTCTTAATAAAATTCGGTAGGAGTTCCCCGGCTCTACCACACCGATTTTGGTGCTTCTCTCCGGGAATATATACATATATATATATATATATATATATATATATATATATATATATATATATATGTATGTATGTATGTATATCAGGAAAATAAATTTTATTAAAAAGGAAGTGCAAGTTACAGAGGGGGGGTTGCCAACCCGACAACAGGCCAAAAGTGATCCAAGCCAAGAAAAGTAGTACATGAAAAAGCTGCCAACTAAACATCAAAGGAGAAGGTGACAATACACTAAAAGTAAAAGAGCGGAGCTGGAATTAAAATCCTCCTAGGCAGAACACCCATCCAAATGTACTTGGTGCCTTATCTGTGCTATATTGTGTTCTCTTCCATATTTTTATGCAGGTGGAGTCGGGGGTCTCTTGGAAACAGCCTCCCTACTTCCGAGTAGGGGCAAGGTCTGCGTACACACACCCTCCCCAGACCCTACTGTTGTGTGATTCAACTGGGTTGTTGTTGTTGTTGTTGTTCATCAACTCAAATGCATCCATTGAGCCTTCTGTAGTACTTTTACCCAAAGATCACAACCACATTTACTGTCCATTCTCCATCCTTCTCAGCCAATCAATGGTAAAAGTACAAAGATTTGAAAACAAAGCTGTCTATTTAGGACCCTGCAAGTACAAATGATAAACTATGCTACTCTAACCCTGAAGCCCAGTCTCTAAACCAGAACCCTTAGGCACACTCTAAAACAGGAGGCCTAATATTCAATTTAAAACCTTGAAAAAGACCATTTTTCTAAACCCCTTGAAAGGTGCAACTTGCAAGAGTAACCCATCTTCATTTCGCCCGCCCTTGAGCTACTTAAGTCAGCAAACAGCAAACATAAAACAAAACTAAATCAAATACCAAGGACTTCTTTTTCCCTGAATGTAATTTAAGGAGTTAACCAATTGTAGTTTGTGACTCTTCACCCTGCTCCCCTGTTAGAAAATCTGCCACGAGCCTTTCATTATCTTTGGAACAGGAAATGAATGCGGGGTATTTAGAATCTTCGAATTGAACAAGGGTCACTTTTCCATGCTTTTCACCGTCTCCCGTATTGCTCTTAGTGTCTTCCCCGACAGATTTTGAAAAAGCCCCATTTTCAGTTTATCTAGTAGAGATGTTTTCGCCAAAGCCTCTTGAATCTGTCTTTCCACTGCCCTGAATATTGTTTCGAAGTAGGCCTCAAAACCTGGTTGAAACAACTTTAGGATTTTCTTTTCTTCATCTTCAGCTTCCTTAGTCTCTTCTAGCCCAGCCTTTAGCCCATGTTCTGTGAGGCTAGGCAATTTAGAACCATGCGTAACATCTTGTTCCAGTAGATATGAGGATATGGAAGGTAACCTTAATTGCTCATCCTCAACACTCTCCACCCGAATCATTTGGTCTGTCAAATCTATAGAAGCTGAAGCTTCTTATCTCCAAGGAGAATATAGAACCTTTTCTGCAGATACATTCCCTTCTTGAATTTTTAAGGCTTCATTCAATGCTTTTACAAAAAGACTAATGCCTTCAGATTTCCTTCCAACTGGGATGCATATAGTAGACCTCTCCCTTTCGGTTCCTGCACTGATTCTAACGAAATATCTTGAGTCCCAGTGGGACTTAGCAGATACAGACCCCTCAAATTTTGAAATCATCCATCCCTCTCTAGCCAAAGATGGGTGGCTTAGGGACTCGGAAAGCCAAAGAGCAATAGATCGCAAAATGGAAAGAGATCTATACATACCATTCTTGGATTCAGTAATTTTAAGATTGTCTAAGACCTGGAAATTGAATACCTTGCTTTCGATCGAAATTGAAACGTCGGAATCTCTTTTAAAAGGCCTTTGGTAACGGTATGAAATTGGTCTTTCTCCAAACCCATTTCTGGATCTCCATCGTCTTTTGATGTTCCTTGAATCATCTCTCCACCTCGGCGTTTGTGTTCTTCTCACATGAAAACTCCAATTATGTTGAAGCGTTTTTCGGTAACCACCGTGTTTGAAGTTTTCAACGTCGTCAGCGGTGCACCGCCGGTGATATCTCCTCCTTCTCTCTAGAAACCCCATCATATATATATATATATATATATATATATATATATATATATATATATATATATATATATATATATACATCTAAAATTTCTTTTGCACCCCAAAAGTTGCTCTCATCCCTATGGATTCTGAAAATTTGCGATATGTTTCAATAATTCCAGAAACTCCTGATGTGTTCACCGATCTGGAGGACTCTGATGAAGCTGGAAAAAACTTCATCGCGCCTGGGGTAGAGGTGATTGAGCAACTTCCCTCAAAAATTGAAGGTCACGAGGGTGCGACGGTGGGAGAACTGGTTCCAGATTCTGAGGAAGAGGACGAACCCTTTGAGTGCTTGAAGGCTCCCAAGTCTGACTTCATGTGTGTTAGAAAGCATATGTGTGACACCATCCTAAAGCTTATGTTCCCAGGCTGGGATACACCCAAGTACTCCATATCTCTTCTCTATTTGGATTTTTTTAGATCCCTAAGAATCCCGTAATGATGTTTGTGCTTCTGATGAGGTTCTGATTTTGATTTCGGAGTCCATATCTCTCCTTCCTGTGTGCATTTGTGTGATACCCCTGAGCATATGTGATGAGGTTTGTGGCTGATTTTTTTAGTTTTTGCCATTGTGCATGTGACCTTTTAAATTGTGTGCCCCTCTGCAGAATGTGTGTGTGCATTTGAGTCCATTACCCCTGAGCATGCTGTGATGACTTACTGATTTTGATTGCTAAGTTGGGCACTTGTGCCTAAATGAAGTTGTGTGCATTACCTATCCCTTGAGCATGCTATGATGGTTGATTATTTTTAATTTTTGCCTTGTGCCTGTGACCTTTCAAACTGTGTGCCCCTCTGCAGAGTGTGTGTATGCATTTGTGTCCATGCCTTACCCCTGAGCATGCTGTGATGACTTACTGATTTTGATTGTTAAGTTGGGCACTTGTGTCTAAATGAAATTGTGTGCATTACCTATCCCCTGAGCATGCTATGATGGCTGATTATTTTTATTTTTTTGCCTTGTGCCTGTGACCTTCCAAACTGTGTGCCCCTCTGCAGAGTGTGTGTATGCATTTGTGTCCATGCCTTACCCCTGAGCATGCTGTGTTAGGTTCTGCATTTGTGCCTATGTATGCATTTCTGTCCATTTGATTCCCCTGAGCAGGCTGTGATGAGGTTAAAGGTGCAGAAATGAATTTTTGTTCATTTCCTACCCCTGAGCATGCTGTGATGAGGTCTCTGATTGTGTGTGTTTGTGTGTCTAAAACTGCAATGATGAAAACCATTAATTCAATATCAAGTACTTATGCTTGATTACAATTTTCTTGTGTGCTGCTTGCTGCTTCTAAACCCCAAAATCCAAAAACCCAAAAAGCAAAAACCCAATATTCAAAATACACAAGCATACTTACACAAAAATCCTAAAACATCTAGGTCCTGCTAGGTGCTAGTTCATTCTTGAAGAATGAAGTCTTCATCCTCTTGAAGAATGAACTGACCCAATAGGTTTTCATGAGTCTCCATGACATGTACTGCTGGCCCATTTTGCACACTGAGTCTTCTTACAGTTCTATCATACAATCCCTCTTGTAGTTGCAATACATAAGACAATATTCCTTCTCTTTCCATGCTTTTCCTTGCCCATGTGTGGCAGCTTGTAGTTATTGCCCCCATCCACTTTCATTATCTCTTGCATAACATTTTGATAAGTCAGCCACACTTTATTTAATGTGTGAGGTGAGAACTGACTGTATGCATCTTGTACTGCCTCCATTAACTCTGTGACATTTGTTGGAGCAGATTTGTCCTTCAATGACTGTATGGCTCTATAAAAGCCTAAATCTAGAATGTTTAGGTCTGGGGAATTAGGGGGCTGGTTTGTAAGGGAAATCTAGAAACCATTAGTTGTGCTTGCCATGACATAGTCTATGTCATTCCCAAGAATATGTGGCCTAGCATTATCTTGCTGCATTATAATTTCCTTGCTCATGAAAGTTGGCCACTTCTCTTGGATGGCAGGTATGACCTTGTGTAGCAACATTCTTTTAAAAGCTTCTTTGGTTACACTTGATATTGCTTTGGTTTCCAGAGAACCTGCCTCCTTATTCTTGCTTTTCCTCTTTGACTCAACACTTTCTACAAATGGGAAAATCCCAACTTTCACATCCCAAAGTACTTCTCCAGCATTTGAAATTACAGGTCTTCCAATAACCCCAAGAAACATGATTTTTGTGATAAATCTCTTAGATTGACATGTTCTATACGGTTCATCCTCCTCTAAGGTCAAATAGTATCTTTGGGATGTTTTTGTCATAAAAAACCATTTCTCATCAATGTGCAACACATTTTTAAATGTCTTGAAACTTGGGTTTGCGGGGATACTGGATTGTTCTACTTGCTCCAAACAGAATTTCAATCTCTGTATCTTGTTTGAATCATTAAGTGTGGGCCTAATTGCATTACTATGACTATGAAGAATACCTCTTTTCACCTAGTTATGAGCGGTGGACTTGCAAACGCCTGCGACGGAGGCTAGTGAGCTGATTGTGGTTCTCCTTCGCAGTGGGATTTCTGCAATTGATTCTAAGTCCACTGCCAATCTTTTCCTCCCAACATTTCCGAGCATTTTGCTTCTCACGTCTATTAAGTTGCCAACGCCTAGTTGTTCCTTAGCTTTTCTCCACAGTTTAGAAACAGATGTTGTGCTTACATTGAACTCAGCAGCAGCTTCCTTCATAGCACCCCTCTGAGCAGTTTGTGTCCCCATGAAATTGTTTTTTGCATGTAGCAACAAGTAGTCAACTATTTCTTGTCTTTCCAAGTTTGAAAGTTTTTTTGTCCTTTTCCCTTGTGTGTTTTGGGATTCTGTTTGCAGTGTTTGTGTAGGAATAGATGGGTCCATTCCTGAAATTGAAACGGCAGTAGCAAACATGGGAAAAAGAAAGGTCACATGGCAAGAAGAGAAAGAAAGGAGAAAGTGACTATGACTTGGCTGGAAAAGAAAAGATGAGAAAGGAAGAAAAAGGAAAGTGCTGCAAAGTACCTGGAAAGGAAAGCCCTTAGTAGAAAAAGGAAGCAATTGGAAGGGATGAAGTGCTGACAGTATTAATAGCCCACCAAAAAATGAAGTTAGAGTGGGAAGTTTTGAAAAAAATGGAAGGAACTGAATTTTTTTTGTCATTTGGGCAATGATAGTGCCGTGTAATGTGATGTAGTGGTATGGGGTGATGATTTGCTTTTGTACTTGTACTTGTACTTCAACAATATTTTAATCATTTTCATTACTTTATCTATCCAATCACTACTATTTAACTTTATTCACCTTTACCTTTAATTTATTTATTTTTATTAACCAAAGGGCAAAGTTGGAAAGTCAAGGCTTTTTTTTACATTTTCTTAAATTCCGTGCCAAGTCAAACTCTGAACATTAAAAGTGGACGGAGGGAGTATAGTGAGCTTTGTTTTACAGTTTGGTGAACTTTGTAGTTGTCATTGGTGAGCTTTGCAGTGGCTAGTGGTAAGCTTTGCGTCATCTGACCGTAGCATTTCATCTCACTGAAGTCAATCTCATATATATATATATATATATATATATATATACACACACACACACACACACACATACATACATACAGAAAATTACTCACGGGTGACGCAAGTTTTGTCGAAATAAATCTCAGGTCCCTCTATTTTCAAGAAGACAACTGAGGTCCTTATATTTTGTTGTAATGACTGGGAGAAGACATTTCATCCAATATTTCATCCATAAGTGTTAATAAATGTATTGTTTTCCTATTTTTCCATTACCGTTTTTTCCTATTTTGCCATTACTTGGTTTTTTCTATTTTAGAAAATATTTTATTTCATTTATTTTAATATAATACAAACAATTTTGAATTTTTATTCGATTTTATAGAAGAAATTCTAAAATAACACTTTAAAAAAGAGTAAAAACAAAGAAAAACAAAGAAATAAAAAAAGAAGTGACCTAAGATTTATTACCTTAAAATATTTAGAAAAGAATAGGAAAAAAATATATTTATTTACGTTTATGGATGAAATATTGGGTGGAATGTCACCTCCCAGTCATTAGAACAAAATGTAAAGACCTCCGTGGTCTTTTTGAAAATAGAGGGACCTGAGAGTTATTTCGACAAAACTTACTTCACCCGTGAGTAATTTTCTGTATATAGACACACACACACAATACATTGAATGGGGTTTGGTCTAGAGAGAAGGGAGCGTCTCCCGTTACGGCGGTGTTCCAACTACTTTGAGGATGAAATCCATTTCAAGCGCAAACCTTACGAGAGAACGTCGTAGGGAAGATGCCAAATTCAAAGGAGAGAATACATAAACCAAATGAGGGGTTGGAGAGGTGGATGGAAGGAGGCCGGATACATGTGGAGATTAAGTAGTTTGGTTCAAGAAGACCAACCAAATTCATCGCGATATTTGGGGCCTCTTGTAAAAGGTATGGGCGTCTCAATTTCGATTGGAATCAAGGATTTCGATTTCCATGTCTCAGAATTCAACATTACGATTACTGAATCTATGAAAGGAACTAGTAGATTTCTTTCTATCACACGACCTACTGCTTTTTGGTTAGCTGAATCCTCAATCCATCCTCCACTTGCAAGGGAGCGGTGGGTGATTTCAACTTTCAAGGTATGGAGTTCTATATACTAAACTACACTGGACTTCAAATAAATTTGGCGAGTTTGTTCAGCTCAGTGGGGGAACTGCTAATGAGCTGTCCCTAATTTGTATACCAGTTGGTACCCCACACTTAAGACTTGAACGTCCTTGTTCAAAAGACCAAAAAGAAACCAAACTTTTTATCATCATCAACAACAAAATGCAATTTACATACCCACAGTAATAACTTTATGCCCATAGCATTTTAAAAAGAGAAATTTACCTAAATAGGATTAAAAAATAATGACTTTCCTAATATAGGACCATATGTTTTTATTTCCCAAGGTAGAACTTTTGGTCATTATCAACTAGTCATTATTCAAGTAAATGTCTAGCATTACTGGACATTATTCCTCCACTAGGTCATTATTAAGTCCTATTTAGGGAATAAAAAAGTTTAAGTCCTAGATTAGGAAAGTCATTATGTTTTAGTCCTATTTAGTGCAAATTTCACTTTTAAAAATAAAGTGAGCTAAAAATCTTTCATGGATGAAGAACTAAAATATCATTTTTTGGGTTCTAAAAAAAGCTCTAAAGTTGCCACAAAAAAATTTCCTAAGAGAATTCTAATGGTTCAAATGGCTCAATGGCAACGGTAGCAAGATTTGAAAAATAAGCCTAAAAGATAAAAAACATGAAATTTTCTAAAAATAAAAAGAAAACTCCTAAAACTAGTTTCTTTTCACAATTTTAAAGATCACAAGGTTAATTAGAACAACATCTAGATAGTATGTGGATGACCAGTTCTAGAAAATAAAATCTAAGGAATACCTAAAAAGATTTCAAACATTTTGGAGGTCATTGTTTACCCAAAAAATGGGCATAAGACTCAAATTAAAGTGAGTTTGCAAAGTATACATTTGATATCTTTTAGAACAAAGCTCAAAGAAAAAAATGAGGTTTATGCGTCAATTTTAAAACAATGCTCTAAATAAGAAGATATGCAACTAAGAATAACAAAATATTTGGACCCAAAACATATTTTGAAAAAACATTGCCCAAAAATATACTCCCCCAAACAATGACATAAACATGAGAACCTCCTCCCACACTTAAATTATGCATAGTTCTTGATGCATCTATATGATATGAAAATAAGCAACAATGATCTATCCAAAAGAATAAGCCAAGAGAGAAGGGGAAAGGGAGTAATGCAACAAAATTAAAGGTGAAAGGATGGGAAGGAGAATGCAAATTTAAAAAAGTATACGCGGCACCAATTCATCATTCTCATTCTATTGTGCTCGATGGACTTGAAAATTTGCAAAGAGAAGGCTAAGACCAAGTTTTTAGCATTGAAGAACAAAAAATCAGATTTCAAATATGTAGCTTTTTTCTAATTTAGCACATATACGCCGTGAAAAGTGTAGAATTTTCATTCTGCACTCAAAAAACAGCTTACAAAGTGCATATTTTCAGTTTCAGCTCAAAAGTCTAATGTAACAATGCAATGTTTTTTACTTTGTTGCCCAAAAAAACTAGAGAGGTGCAGAATTTTTAAGTTTTAACTCATAAAAGATCAATGTAACACCCAAGGCTTCAGAAAATAGAAAATTGACAGTATACCAACACCCGGGCACTTAGAGCTCCTATTTCAAAATAGATTTTGCACCATTTCTGTGCAGATTTTTTACTCCAAACAGGCATGCTTCCACCTAAAACTCAACAAATCTTGCAAAAAGCTATCAAAGTAGATGGTTAGAAGCACAAGTAAAAAAAATAAACAATTAAGCTCATCAAGATAACTTTTTTTGTTGCTTTGATTTTATACTTTTTTTGTTTTGATTTTCAAAAACTAAATGAAAGAGAAAGAGGGAAAAAAACCAATTGTATAATTACAACAAATACTATTACATCAATACGGAAAAAAAGTAAGAAAAGTAAGTTGGTTACCAAATCAACAACAAAAAAAACTTTAATACAACAACAACATGTTAAAGTTAGAAGTAAGCATAAGGAACTTAAAGAAAAATTAAAAAAATGCTATAAAAGTAGAGTAATTTACTTAAATAGGACTAAAACATAATGACTTTCCCAATATAGGACCATATGTTTTTATTTCTCAATGTAGGACTTTTGGTCATTATGAATTAGTCATTATTCAACTAAATGTCTATCATTACTGGACATTATTCCTCCCACAAGGTCATTATTAAGTCTTATTTAAGGAATAAAAAAGTTTAAGTCTTAGATTAGGAAAGTTATTATGTTTTAGTCCTATTTAGTGCAAATTTTACATAAAAGTAAGTGGTTCATGTTAAAAAATAGAAAGATGAAAAAAATGCAATCAACAACTAAAAGAGAAAAAACTACAACAATAACTAGAAGAAAAGAAATTTAAAAAAATGCTTGAAAAGTAAATGGGTTGCCTCCCATAAGCCGCTCAGTTTAATGTCAATGGCTAGACAAAACTTATTACTTGCCAATACTTATTCAAATAAACCATCGAGTAGTAAAGTAAATGTGTTTCCTTAAAACACTAAAAGAGTAAAATCAATGTAAGCTCTCAGTTTTCCACATTGGATGGGGATGATCACTAGATGATCAATTAAGAAGCAAAAATAAGATCATGAGTGTAGATTTTAAGATTCAAATCAGGTTCTTGAAATAAAAATTTGCACTTTGACATCAAAACTCATGTAATAGGTCAAAAATCAACTTGTAAAATATGCTAAATGCTCCCTTATCAATTCCTATGCAAGTTTTAAACAGTTAAACTTCAAAAATCAACATATCGGCACCTTAGGAACAAAAATTCAGCATGAAAATCAAGCAAAAATGTTGCAGATTTTTCAACAGAAACAGCGTTGTAGGTCTGAATTTCAGCAATTTTAGCTTATAAACCTCAAAAATCAATATACAAACATCATTTCATGCTTCCATATATTGTCCCCAAGCAAGATATATCAATTATAGTTCATATTTGAAGCAAAGGAGCACTCCAAGGACAAACACAGCATGAAAACAATGCCAAAAGTGCACTTTCTTAAAAAAACATGTATAAATCAGATTTTTAAGAAAATGTAGCATCAAATACTCAAGAATAAGACTTTTGACATCATGTTATAGCTTTAAATTCAGTTCCTAAAGATGTTTTAAGCAACTACGCACTTTAAGGAACATGAATTCAGCTTGCAAATCAACCACAAAGTGCAGATTCTTTTCTTTAAAAAACAACAAATAAGACTTTGGCAAATCGGCACCAATGCATCATTATCAACATATGATCATTGCAAGTTCGCAACTCAGTTTATCAAGCAAAAGTGCATGAATTAGCATTCAAAATGCTATTTAACAAGGAAAGATCATATTTTTAACAAAAAGCATTCCAAGAATAAAAAATACAGGCTGCACATATCGAATTTTGGAACAAAACAAAACCGATGTCATCCATATGCAACCTGTATGGTCAAATCAACTTAAACCTACAAGTAAAAGCGCATAAAAAAGTCTCAAAATATAGCTTTTATGAAAAATTGGCCAAAAATTTCACAAAGGGAGAAAATGGAGCACAAATTCAGCACTCAAGAGAATCAGTAAAAGAAATCACCCTACGCAGCACTCTAAGTCACTCAATATCACACATATAGCACTCCCTAATCTTTTATACGAATTTAGTTATTTATAGTGTCAATATCTTCCAAGAATACCCTCTACCTTTTATTATATTCTACTATTTTTAATACTTTTAATTATTTGATTAAACTTATGTTATTCACGTAGCCACTCATCCTCATACGTGCGAGAACACCATCCTATGCCGTTTACCATAGCTCTGCAAGATCATCCTCCTACACAATTTACCAATGTATAATGCCTAAAAAAGTTCGTATGTATTAAATTAAGTTCCATATTTAACGCCCATGTTTGGCAAGTGTGTTTTGGTGTAATATATTATTCATGAAATCATTCATACATTTTTGGGCAGTGTGGAAGTCATATATTAATATAGCCATACACATTTTTGGTTGTGTGGAATTCATACATGAAAACAGTGTGGAATTCATACATGAAAACAGTGTGGAATTCATACATGAAAACAGTGTGGAATTCATACATAAAAAGAGCTATAAATTTTTTGGACAGTGTGGAATTCATACATGAAAACAGTCATACACTTTTTGACAATATAGAATTTATACATGAAAATATTGCCACATAGATCAATGGACATTACACCCCAACATGAAATTAAGGAACACAATAATACATTTACACACTACTGTAAGATATAACAACATAAATCAATTCCATACTGTCACATTAAATTCTCACATATAAAAAATCACACTGCCTACTACATAGTTACAAGTGAATAACCACACTGTCCAAAACAATCATATTTTTTGGCAGTGTGTAATGAATATTTGCTTCTTAATTAAAAGGACAAAATTGGAATCACAGGTACGAAACATATAGCACTGTTATTTAGAGTATTTTAAGGCTCTAAGAGTGCTATTTTGGGTTTTCCAATAAAGCTGATTTTAGTTCATTCTAGCACGCAGAACCTCAATTCTATGAATAGGCATGTAAAAAAATATTAAAACTCAAGAAAAGAGGTACTACGACATGCTCACTAATAAAAAAAAGAATACAATGGCATACTAAAGTGATTTCATACAAAACTTTCCCCAGCAACGACGACAAAATTTGTTGAACACTTGTCGTACGGTCTAAAACAAATTAAAAATTTATAAAATATCCTTAACTAAACCCCAATATATAATCAAATAAAAACTATAGTTAGGTCAAGTAAGGGTCGATCCCACGGATAAAGTTCGTACTTTTTAAAATCAATTTAATATGCGAACACGTTGTCACTAAATAAAACAAACTAACTACTACACACATTAGAACACCTATAAAACTTATAATTAAATAAATATAAAAACATATAAATATAACTTATATAAACAAAGAACTTATAATATAACTTATAAACATAAAACACATGCTTAAGATATACTAAAAAAAAGTATAAAAACTTATATTTATAACTTATAAACAAACACTAATAATATAATTTAGTAAAAAACTTATATTATAACTAAAAACACAAAGGGGGGGTGTTGGATAAAAAGTAAAAAAAAAATTGATTTTTTAAATTTCTTATTTTTTTTGGTTTTTTTGATAAAATGGGGAAACAAGCTTAAAAGATAATCAACTACTCCAACTAAGGCAACCCATGAAACCGCCAAAAACCCGAAACAAAATGAAAAAGAGAACAAACACTAGTCGAACATTACACGTATAATAGGCACGTAGACAATATATTACGTAACTTACACACTTAAGAATAGAAAATAATTCGACTCGAGTTGAATCATATCATTGGCCACATATAGAGGATCGTCAACTCTCTATAAGGCCCAGAGTCATGTAATTCAAAGGCCTTTTGGATCACTTTGAACCCCAACTCACCTCAAGCGCTCAAACAATATTTATAAAATATGAAAAAGTTTATAAAAGAGCGAATCTTTCTTTCATTCTAACTCTCATGCATAATTTATCCACAAAGAACATTTTATACACTTTAATAAACTTTAAAATCTAATGATGAAAATATTTTGCAGGTCTCCTTGAACACCTCAAGCATAAGAATTCTAGTATATTCACATAAAAGAACATTACATATTTTCAAAAATTTAAACATTGTTTTTGTGCTTAAACAACCTTAAATTTTATGAAAATAACGAACAAACACACGACATAAAAATCAAACAATAATGAATTTTAAAGAAAATGTCCAACCTATGGGGCAAAGAAGTCCATAAAGCTTAAAATTTTACAAAACACATTACACAACAAAGAATCACGTATAAATTCGGAAATCATTTAACTATAATATGAAGCTAAAATAGCTTCAATGAAAACCAATTCATCAACAATTTGTACAAAAATTGAAGAAAACTAATATGAACCAATTCTCATTCATAAGGGATTTAATATAGTTAAAAAAACATAAACCCAAAAAAACACCAACCTTTGTTTAGAATTTTTTTGAAATTAACACAAACAAAGGAAAGAAAATGTAAATTTAGATTCAAACAACACTCTTACAAAGAAATTGGAGTAGAAAAAGAAATTGACAAACAAGAGTTACCAATTTGTTGAAGAAGATGATGAAAATTGAAGAATTGGAGCTTGAAGGAATTACCAAACCGCAGCTGCAGGCCGCCGCCATCACCGTCGTCGCCGGCCGCCACCGCTCGCCGGAGCTGCGTAGATAGTCGTGGCTAGAGCCGCTGCTCTTTCTCTGTGATTCCCCCGTTGTTTCCCTTGTTGTTCCCCTTGTTGTTCACCTTTTGATGGTGGTAGCCTTTCCAATTTATAGAGCAAGAATTCTTTCCGTTGGAGCGTTTGGGCGAATTTGGCGGAAGAACATTAGAGTGTTGAAGAAATTCATCCTTTGAATGCCGAAGAAGAAGAAGTCGTAGACTTCATTTTTGTGTCGTGCATGAGGCTGAAGAGGAAAGAGATGTGTTGGGCTGAGTCAAACTTGAACTCCGATTTGGCCTTTTTCTACATTTTTCTCCAAAGAGTAAGATATCTGATAATTTTGGGTTAGGGAAAATAAAATAAAATAAAAAATGATTGAAAAGCTACTATTTTTAAAGAAAATTAAAAGATTGTAAAAAATGGGAATTAAAATAAAAATATTCTAAACAACTAAAAATAAAAGACTAAATGTCTTAAAAATGCCTAAAAATAAATAAAAAGTATTAACTCAAAACCGACTTATTGCTCATGAAATTGTTCCATGACCGGCCTCACATCCACCATTTTATAACTATTAAAGTTACTTATGAAGAAAGTTTTATTCGAGACATCTTCGGCCATGTACTTTAACTCTAGAGAACAACATTTTGGCAAATTCTACGTTTTGATAAATGTCAAATAAAGTGTCGTACATACCATTCAGACTGTGGCCGCGACATATATAGTCATTGTTGTCCCATTTGATCCGGCGATGCTTGGTTTGCAATGACTCGTCCTCATCGTTCCTTTCTTCTTTTAGAGGCCTCAGGGTGCTCAGCACGTAAACCACATTCAATGTGGTTAGAAGAAAATGTATCTTTCCTGCCATCTTTGGAAAGCCACACCTTCAAGCTTTTCCAATTTTTGGAAATTGGCTTTGATATGTTGTTGCAAAGTAGCCATTTCAACGGATAAGTAAACTTTTAGATTGTTAGATCAAGAGAATTTTTTTGTAGAAATATTGGTGAAAATGGGAAAGACAAATATCACTTCTTGACGCATAAATTTTAGCTTTTCTAAAATTTTACTATCTATTCTTAGGGGCTGTTTGTTTCAGCCTCTTAATGGTTCAGATGTCTGAATGGTTCAGCACTTAATGGTTCAGACTGTTTGTTTCAGCCTCTTAATAGTTCAAATGTCTGAATGGTTAAGAGATTTGCCTCTGAATGGTTAAGTATTATACAGAGTATGAATGGTTAAGACCTCTTATCTGAATTGATCAGACATTTTCCTCTGAATAGTTAAGCAATATATTAGCTCTTAATGGTTCAGACCTCTTACTGGTTCAATACTTAATGGTTCAGACCTCTTACTGATTCAGCACTTACCGGTTCAGAAGTTGCCAAACAGCCCATTATTGTAGTAACTGGCTCACAAGATAAAACTTTTGGGATAATAAGATGGTGTGCGATGTATTTTGGTTACTCACAAAATAACACCAAACAAGTGATTTTGTGTATAGATAAATCTAAGGATTCTCCTATTAATTTTGCATAGAGCTGGCAAATCGGTCGGTCAGGTCGGGTTCGGGTTCGGTCACTTCATGTTCGGGTTATTTCGGGTTCGGGTTGAAAAATGTATGTTCATGACCCAGTGTCATGGGGTTCAGGTCGACCCAACGGGTTATGACTTTGGTTTTTTAAAATTTTAAATTTACATTAACACTTACATTTTCTATGAAGTAAATTTAAAATATCAAAAAACATGTATTAAATCTATTCGACTTTTCTATTTTAAATCTTGAAAATTTTTTTAGATATATAAATTAATATAAGGAATTAAAAAAATACTTAAGTTTTTGAAAAAATAAGATAATTATGAAATATTAATAAAATTTTGTCTGAAAATAAGAATTTATACATAAATAACGAGTTGTAAAGTGTATGATTTTTAAAAACTCTTACTTTAGCGGGTTGGTCAGGTCGGGTTCGGGTTTGACCCATTTTTAGCGGGTCATTTCGGGTTCAGTCAACTTCGGGTTCGGTCATCAAAACATTTGTTCAAAACCCAGTATTTTTAAGTCGGGTTTTTGGTCAAAAACAGGTCGGGTCATTTTTTGCCAGGTCTAATTTTGCAGATAATAACAAAAGAATATTAGGCAACATAAAGGAGGTCCATCTTTATGATCAACAAAGAGTATTTATAACCCACAATACGCAACTATTCCCCTTTTAATTCTAAACGTTGTGTTTTGTAGTTTCAAACCATACTAACACTATTATGTTTCTAAGCATCATGATCGTTTAATTTGTTGGTAACTATCAACAATTATTCTACCGTCCAACAAATGAGTTTGTACTCAAATTTGAAACTAGGAGTTGCATGTTCAATGTGTGCTCACATAGTTGTTTTATAATTGTACTCTTTCTTGGAATATTATTTTAATATAACTCCACAACTTCTAATTAAAATAACAATAGTAAGTAACATGTTAACATTTGAACCATATTATCCAATGAATTTCCAACATTATCATAAGGATTAAAATATTTTCTTAACTTTATGTTTTCTTCCCTCCCACTTTTTCTCCCATTTCTCACTCATCCAAACAATTACTCCCTATTATTTTCTTTTCAGTCCCGCTAGGGGTACACCACTTGTGTACCACATATGCACACCATATACTCCCCCTCACCTCTCTTATACCCCCACCCCCACCACTGTTTTTTCTATTCTCATCCAATTTCCCATTCTTATCACTCCATTTCTCTCCTTCGGTTTTCTTTTTTCATTTCATTTTTTTGCAGATCTGGTGCATCGGACATCGCTAATCCTCAGCAGCACCATAACTCGCCGTTGACATATGTCTTCCCACTCGTCGGCGCCGCTGCTCTATGTCTTCCCACCTGCCGTCGCTGCTGCTTTGTGTCTTCCCACCCGCCGCCGGCCTTCTTTTCTCTCTCGCTGCCCAGAAACTGCACGGAGGAGGCTCTCCGTGACCATGGCTTAAATATCCGTCTTCATCGTCAATCTCAAAACCTTAATCGAAGGAGTTTGTGCGTGATAATGTATGAAGAACCCCCATTATCCCCTACTTTTGCAAGTAAGTTACATTAAACCCTTGTTTCAGTTGTTGATTGCCTTAATGTTTAGTTTTTTAACTAACAGAGACACTATGATGCATAGGATTTTGTCAAACAAGCCTGGATTATTTGTGAATCTTTCAAAAAATGCAAAAATTTTGGGACATAGTCATTTAATGTTACATGTTGAGTATTTTTTTGGATTAGACATACTTCACAACCCTTATCAACAATAGGAAGGATCATAAGTGATGTTTATATGTGCATATATTTTCACAGACAATATGCTATTTCCCGTACTATAACACAGACAGAGAATGTATGTGTTAATTGGAACTGAAGAGTTTGAGTGTTGTGATGAATGTTTTGATGTTTAACAGATTTACTAACATGTGGATGTTATTAGAGATGAACATATTTTACCAATCATTTTGGATCATACATGTTCGAAGCGGAAGAACACCCCACGTAAGATTTGATTTCAGACAACAGACGAGAAAATTACTAGCAAACAAAAAGTAAACAAGAAGGGGTGATGCAATGCTGATAACGAAGATCTATGTCAAATGTCAAACAACCCTTACGAGCATTTTGGAGTTGGCAGTGGAGAAAAAGAAGTTCCAAGTCAAAGGTCAAGCGAGCCTTCCAAGCGTGTTCGAGTTTCAACGCAGGCATGGGAAGTCCTAGATGAGGATGAGATTTTTGAATAAATAGTATTAAGTGTAGATTTGTAAAAAAATATGAATATTTAGTCCCTGTGTGATCTAAGATTGGCCATTGCAATTTGTTTTCTTTCTTTTTTCAAATGCAGAAAACTTAGAAAGATATTGCACTTTTAAACCATGTTACACTAACATGAAGAGTCTGTATTTAAAGGAGTATAGAAACCTTATGTCTGTGTGACTTGATAGTTGTAATTGAGGTTTTCGTTAATTTTTTAAATTTTTAATTGAGGTTTTCATCTAACAACCAATACTTGTAATTGCAGTTAGAAAATATATTACATATACTTAAACAATATTTTTAATTTCAAAAAATAAACAAAAATTTTACGAAACAACAATTTATATTTTCAAAATAAGCCAAAAATTTGAACCAAAACTAGTTGGTTGTTCGAACTATCCAACACATTCAGATTTCAAAAGTAACAACGTATTAAAATCAAAATAACATTTAGATAATATGTGTTTGTGACTAGTAAAAATGAACATTTTCTATCAGTGAAACTAAAAGGGTAATTACCCAAGCGTGGGATGTCCCAGGTGAGGATGTGGTATTTGACCTTACCGTTACAAACCTGGACTTGTCTTTAGGCATTCCATAGCTTCGAAGGGTATGAATCCTTATTTTTGTGCAAATACGATTTTGTATGTAAATGTCACAGACATAGCTCACGCAGGACATTGTGGTTACAGACATTTAATGTCTGTGTGTAGTAGTATATTTATGTCTGTGTCTACATGTATCTAAGTGTCACGATTTTTTTTGTCAAAACATGAAGATGCTAGTAATGACATGTAAAAATTTTCATACACAAGCTATCTTTGACATTGTGGGTATATTTATAAAACAAACACTTCTAGCCTAAGACATGGATAAAAAAGACACTTCTCGCCTATGACATGAATAAATCAGACCCCATCTGTCTGACATTGGGTATACTTAGAAAACAAACATTTCTCGCATTGGACTTGACGGAAACAACAAACCGTTGTCTCACATTGGGTAAATTTATAAAACAGACACTCCACGCGTAGGACAAGGAAAAATATGTGTGTTACAAAAAAATATGTTACACGAACAGGTCAGGAAGTAAATGTTTCTGTGTTACAAAGAGATAACCCATTCACAACAGGTAACTAATGTTATCAACCAAAAACACCTTGAATTCATTGATTTTAAGGATAATGTTTAGGTACATTCCCTTTCCTCAAACGCCACAAGCGAACAACGAATTCGTTGCGGAAGTCTTGGACATGATCGTGTTTACAACTTGATATTAGTGGCAAGCGAGCCATCAAGTGTTCCGCAAATGCAAGTACCATGACGCCACAGACACCGGAACTGCACCAACATAAATTATTCATGTCAGTGCACACATGACATAAAGAGAGCAAAGAAAACTAATAACCTTAGCGTAGTACTTCTATTAGAGATATGATAAGTAAAAAATGGGCAAAAACATGATACAAAGCACGCAAGCAAGAAACACTGAAAACAGATATTCTGTGTCTGTGAGTAGCAGTTCACATACATTTGCCATTTTTTCAAAAACTAAACATGGAAATAAAATAATTAAGAACTTAGGGTTCATAATAGAAGAACAAAAAGTAATAATTTAGACACATAAAAACATGATACAAAGCACGCAAGAAATTAAAACAGAAAACAGATATTCTACGTCTGTGAAAAGCAGTTCATATACATTTACCATTTTTTCGGACATAAACATAAATAACGGTAATTAAGAACTTAGGGTTCATAATCCAAGAAGAAAAGGTAAAAATTCAGCATATATTCACCTAGAAGATTCCTGTTTGTTTGTTTTTTTAATTCTTCTACTTCGGACCATGCATTTCAAGGGTCATTTTTTAAGAATTAAACTCAGTTTGTGAAGCAATAAATTATTTTAATTAATGGAAGTTTGAGGAAATTCTGCATCACATTTGCTCATTATTTGATACACAAACCAATTACGCAGTTTTGGGGAACCTATGCATCAGATTTGGGGAAACTCAGCTTGTGGCTACCATTAGAGAATCAATTTAGGGGAACTTTTTCCTTGTCTATTTAACCGCTGCAATTTTCCATTTTGGCTAGAAATTCAGCACATTAATACCTGGAAGTTGATGATGTTGCGAGAGACAATCACTGGCGAATCGGCGATGATGTTGCGAGAGAGAAAATTGAGAAGGCGCAGGGACAGGGAAGGTGTAGGGACGGAAGAAGCGACGGGTGGGATAAGGGGGGAAACCAAAAGAAAGAGAGAAATTTTATTTTTTGGGATGGGGGGAATTTTTTTGGGAGGGTGGGGGGATTTCGTGGGAGATATGGAGTATATGGGGTACATATCCTGTGTACCCATAGAATTATCTTTTCTTTTCATTTTCTTACAACTTTTTCCCCTAATTCTCTTTCCCATTTAAATATTTCAGCTCCTTACGGAACTTGCCATTTAGTTCTTGCTATAGTGCTATTGACAAATTAACTGAACTTCTTTAGCTGTGTTTTTGTACTAATTTTCTTCATTCAGTTCAATTAGCTATCTGCGTTTCCTTAGGCAGATGGCACAAGAAACATCACATCCTGATGTAGAGGTAATTTCTGTATAAGCATTTCAATCGTATAAATATATAGATGTTGTGCTTAAGATTTAAGTATGGTTGGATTTTTAGGTTGTTCTTGCTGAAGAAGTGGGCAGTGCTAGATTGATCACCTTAAACCGTCCCAAGCAATTGAATGTCATTTCGTCTACTGTGGTATGTTAATCATAAAAAAATTGTTTCATTTTTCTTTAATGTTATTGTTTCACTTTTCTGCAAGTCTTTTGATAAATTTTTTTCTCTTTAATCAGGTAAAACTTTTGGCTGAAAACTTGGAAAAATGGGAGAAGGATGACAACGCAGCCCTCGTCATCTTCAAGGTTATCACATTCTAAGAACCTCCAAAAGAAAGGGGGCGGATAGTTATGAATTTCTTTACTGCATCTTAAGCAGTTTAATGTTTCTATAAACTCGTAGTGGTTACCCGTAGATTAGATTGGGACATTTAAATGGCATTTATTCTTTGTCATAGGGAGCTGGCCGTGCTTATTCTGCTGGCGGGGACTTGAAAATGTTTTATGATGGCAGGAGATCGAGTAACTGTTTTCCCCTAAATAAATTTGATTGTTTTTCCTTTTTGTGTACTGACTTGCTCAATTGTTTTACCGATCAAATTTGATTGGTGTGTATGTAGAGGACTCCTGCCTTGAAGTTGTTTACAGGATGTATTGGCTCTGTTACCATATCCACACTTATAAAAAGCCTCAGGTACGTTTTTGTGATTTGATCGCATTTATGTAATGAATACTTTCACCAACAAACAAAGTGTACTGAGAGAGAGCAAAGAGACTCCCAGAATAAAAATGCAATACATTAAATAAATGAGTAACAGAAAGGAAAGATAGAACAAGACTCTCAAGAGAGAACTCTTCCGAGATACCGGAAGGAACCTTCCATCACGATGCTCTTTCCCTCTCAGCCAAACTGAAAATATCCCAAACACTAATGTATCCTTCCTCCCAAATGACTGCCTTATTTATAGAAAGTAAGCAAGGTAAAAGATAATAAATATATGTAATCAATTATTCTTAATAAATATGAATCTAATCTGGATTTATTGATGGAATCATCCATTTAAACAAATCGGATACATATTGGTCCGCTTGATTGACTCCCTGATTGCTTTCCTTCTATAGACTTAGGAACATATGTCTATAATGTACTGCTAAATTTTCCTGCCAAGGATGTGTTGGTCTAGAATTTGTCGTTTACTGATGATAACCAATCATGCCAGGTTGCTCTAGTTCATGGCATTTCAATGGGTGGAGGTGCATCCTTGATGGTCCCAATGACATTCTCTGTTGTAACTGAGAAGACTGTAAGTATGCATTTCTGTGTTTCTAAAACATTGTGGAAACTCGAGGAAACTGTGCAAAAACTTTCAAAGAGCTGTTTTCAATTTAAAAAGGTGTTTCCTGTGCAGTGTTTTCTGTTTCTAGTTTCTTATTTCTTGCTTTTCTACCTCTCTGTGAAACATTCCATTGCTATTTCTGACACACACACGCGTGCACACACACATCTTACAATGGTGTTTCCTGGCTAGGTTTTTGCTACTCCAGAAGCAAGCATTGGGTTTCATACTGACTGTGGCTTCTCATATATCCATTCACGCCTTCCAGGCCAACTCGGTAAGCATTACCATGACTTATGCTAGCTTTCTCTCCTCAATCATGAATGGGATTTCTAGAAACTAGAAGGGGAAGGAATTCCGAGAAGACATTTGTTGCGTGCAGGGGAGTACCTTGCACTAACTGGGGCAAGGCTTAATGGTAAAGAGCTGGTTGCACTTGGATTGGCAACACACTTTGTCCCTTCTGATGTTAGTTATTTTCTGTCTTTTCATTCTATCTATAGTGTGTGTAGTTTTAAACTAATAGTGATTGTTTTATCCATTATGTTTCACCAAATACTTTGATAAGTCATAACCTTTGAATTATCATATTTCTGACAGAAATTGCCTGAGCTGGAGAAGTGTTTGTTAAGTTTGGAAGCAGGCAATGAGAATGCTATCAGGTCCGCCATAGAGGAATTCTCTATAGGTGTTCAGATTGATGAAGAAAGTGTCTTGAACAAGTAAGATGCCGTTGGGAACTGTTTTTTGTGTTGATTATATGAGATATCACGAAATATTGTTAATAGTTCTATATCTAGATTGAAAAGAATAAAAACTATATTTACCAATCAACTAATCCTAAGTCAAGGTACTTAAATCACCATTATATCATTACATTGTTTAGATGATGTGATAGCACTCTATGTCTAATAACTAAATTCTATACTCCCCGCAAGTGGTACCATATAGGTCAAATCCACCAAGTCATTGGAAATATGTGTTGACAGCTTACCAACACCGCCTCTGCCGACCACCAAAAGTTCCCCGGTTTTCCCAACACTGCATGTGATATTTTAGAAATATGTGTTGGTAAACATGTTTTCAGTATTAGAAAATAGAAAATTGAAAAGGAAAACAAACGTAAACGGACCCAGAATTTGTTGCTCTCATTATTTTTTTAAAACAGGCGTCCGGTTTTGACATAATACAAAACATTTATAATTTTATAAAAATCATATGTTTTCATAATAAACAATAGAAACTAACAACAACAGCGACCTAGTAGAATCCCACTTGAGAGTAGAGAGTCTGTTTTCAAGAGACCCCGGCTAGAGCAACACAGAAGGCACACAAATCATGAACACAATAAGCAAGGAACAAACTAAGGGTAAAGCAAAGCGCAAAGAGACAAAAAGAACCAAGCAAAGAAATGACAGACTGATGGGGCGTAACATTTCTACATGAATGCATGTGTGCTTATTTTTCCCTTTTTTAATTTGATAAAAAAGAGATTCAAAGTTACTTCATGCTTGCAGGCAATCTCTAATCGATGAGTGCTTTTCCAAGGATTCTGTGGAGGAGATTATAAAATCTTTTGTATGAGTTTTTGCTCAAGGCCTTGAGTATGTGATGACTAGTCCCATAACGTTCAGCCATTTAAACAATTGATTCTTACATATTTCTCAGGATACTGAGGCAAGCAAAGAAGGCAATAATTGGATTCATGTTGTGCTTAAACGCCTCAACGAATCTTCCCCAACAGGATTAAAGATCACTCTGAGATCGGTAATAGTTCATTCTACATAGGATGTGTTTCACAAAAATTAAACTTATGGTTACATACTTCAAGCCAATTTTACAATTTTGACGTCTGATAAGGAAAAATAAATCTCTTCCTATTGCTTATTTTAAGCAGCGTAAACCTCATAAACCAAAAGCAAGTACCTGCATGTTTATTGTTTATGCCTATTGCTTATTTTAAGCACTTAAATCTCACAAGCCAAAAGCAAATACCAGCATACTTATTGATTTTCTGTTGTTTTCTTGATTTGGAGTATTCCTGGATAGACTTCCTAATTGTGTGTGTCACTTTCAGATTAAAGAAATTTTGGTTATACTCCAAAATTCTTCAATCAAATAAAACAAAAGCTTCAAGAATGAGTATGATTTTGTTTATATCAAATGTACCAAATCTCGTATGCATATATAATCCGTAAATATGACCTGATGTTTCCCTAGGGTCGGTTAGGGGTGAACCATCACAACTTTTCAGTTGGTTATTCGGTTTTGATGGTTAACCCTGCCAACGTTTCAGTTAGTACTGATGCTTCATTAACAAGCCATTACCCTCATGGTTCTGATATTGCTATGCTAGTGCCCTCTGGTCAAAAATATCCTTCAAATATTAGGTGAATAACTCCGTTGTCCCCTATGGGTTTGGAAATTTGAAGGATTTTTTAATCTAGAGGAGCATTGGCGTAGCAATATCAGAACCATGAGGGGCAACGGCGTAATTTTTGAATCCATAGGGGTAACAGTGCACATTTACTAAACCACAGGGGATCATGGTGCAATAAACTCTATTTTCACCATTCACAAAATCGGATGAATTTCCAATAAAGCAACTCCTGACAAAAAAAATCAAGCTGGCATACCTCAACCCCAGTCACGAGATCTTCCCCTTGACCTTGCCAGGGGTATCCGCCCCTTGACCCTGCTACCTGGAGTGGTGCCTCTAGATCCCGTCAAGGGGGCAATGACCCCTTGGAACCCCTCCCATGGTTTAGGGACTTTACTCCTAGGAACCATAGATGTTCATAAGCACTTAAAATCATAATATTCTTGAACGAGTATGTACCCCACCCAACACCTCCTAACTTGTATCAATGTATATTCTGATTTCACGTCCCAAAATAGTCTGATTACACTTAAATCACCAACATTTTGTTTATTAATTTTGCACAAGCAATCTAAAACACTTTCTGATGTAATAATCCTTTTCATTAACCACTGATACCCGATCTTGACACACGCTCACAATCTTTTTCATTATTTTTGCACAAGCAATCTAAAACACTTTACATGTACAATGCCTGTAGTTCAAACTTTGTGATTGGTTTCTGATAAGAGTGCTCGTACAAACTTCGTCCAATATCTCCAGTAAAATATTATTGTAAGAGAAAATTGTTGATCCAATGTCCTGTGGTGATGGTGAATTAAGTCACACCTCTTCCTTGTCAAAGAGGTGGGACTTGACCTTGTCTAACATTCACTGATTATTTCTTTCAGAAGTGATTTATTATTACAAACTAATGACCCTTTGACATCTATTGTGAGAGTCCTAATCATAAGTGGAAAGAGAGATGTAAACAGATACAGCTCTTCTAAAGAGAAGAATAAAATACTAAATCAAAGAAAATGAGTAAGGCATTTAAAGAATAGAAAATAAGGAAACTGAAGTCAAGACTTGTTAAGAACTTGCCCTAAACTCTTTAGGTAGGTGGTGCTGATGTGTATGCTCCATCAACACATTTATATTTAATTGTTGATTGTTCAGTATCTAATCAGCAAATGCCCACGAGTACTTTTGGGAAGTCTTGAACTCACGGTTTTGCAGTTATTAATCTTGCATATATTTTTGTTTGTCTTCGTAAAGATTCGAGAAGGAAGGAAACAAACACTGGCTGAATGCCTCAAAAAAGAATTTAGACTTACAATGAATATTTTGCGGGAAATTATATCTGGCGATGTCTATGAGGTAATATCTAAATTTTGAAGTGTGTTTAATTGCTACAGAGTATATTTGATTTCTAAAGGTTTCTTTTGGGTCCAAAATGGCATGTTTACTTTTGTCCTAATATGAAGGGCATCAGAGCTATCAATGTTGACAAAGATAACTCCCCAAAAGTACTCTCTCTCTCTCTCTCTCTCATTTTAGCAAGAAGTTGTAATACAATATTTACCTGAATTGTCAAAATCCTACTTTTGGCATTCATAACTGTTGTAACATACATCGAATTAGTTACACTCAAGAACCTCATCCTTCAAGGACTCATCGTTTCTCTCTTTCTAGTGGGATCCTCCCACACTTGACAAGGTTGATGAGGAACAAGTTGAGAAACTCTTCCAACCTTATGGCGAAGAACTGGAGCTCAGCATCCCTGAAACACCAGATCGCAGGTCTCCATGGGTTTCGGTTTGTGTATTGATAGCCAATACTTCTTTCGTAATTTCTCCAGAATTTGTTGTCCACTTTCATGTTTTTGCTTGTCTGGAAATAGTTTTTCACTTTTTATATTCAATAAAGAAATCAAAGATGAATTGTCTAAAATATCCTAGAGATCATTGACATTAATGAGAGTCAAACTCATTTGAAGGATCTATTAAACATTTTAAACAGATTTTCTTTAAATGAGGTTTTTTAGAAAGTAGACAACTTAATCGTGACGGAAGGAGTATAAACTTGTTATTCTTCAATAACAACACAATGACAAATTCTTGCAATTGAATTGACACAGGTGGGATGGAAAATATGAGAATTCAGCTTATGCTCCCCTTCAAACTGTGCAAGTCTGATTCTACGCAAATCTTGGGTTTGCAGAGGGTTTTATGGTAATGTGCATGACAATAATCTTGCGTTAATTCTTCATTTTTAGTGAATCAATCAAACCATGCAAAAGGCTAGGATTTGGGAATCAAAGTATTTAGATCAACAAATGTAGTGAGGTGAAACCCAAAAAAGAACATTGTTAAGGTGTTTGTTATTGCATTTCAAAATTGATTCTACTGTTTGAGGCAGAAGTTATTAGAAGAATTAAAGTGTACGCTGTTTGGAAGAATTCCTAAATCTGACAATTTAAGACTACAATCTCTACTTTGTTGTAATCTTTTGGGTTCAATTTTTTGAGATGTTGGAAGAAACTGGGAGGAATCGAAAAAAACTAGAGTTGGAAAATGTTTCAAGGATTTAAGTATTAAAAAGTCAATCAATTAATTGATCATCCAAATAAATATGTAACATTTTAATTTTGGAAAAAAAGAATTCCAAGAGTATTTGAAGTGACAACAACAACCCAGTTAAATCACACAAGAGTAGGGTCTGGGGAGGGTGTGTGTACGCAGACCTTACCCCTACTCGAAAGTAGAGAGGCTGTTTCCAAAGAGACCCCCCGGCTCAACGTCGAAAGTTGTATTGCTTGACTAACTGCTACTTCATTAGTTAAAGAAGCGCAGACAATTTGGAGATCCATTTTGATTTATTCCATCACACCCCAAAGCCAAAAAATGGTGAAATTTTGGCTCCATCGAAGATGATGGAAAAATTTGAAGTGATATATTATAAATTTGGATATATAATGTAATTTCATATTAAACATATATGAACATCTTTTTAAATCGTTGGAAGAAACTAGTAGAAGTTGGAAGAAACTTAAAGAGTTGGAAGAAGTTCGAAGTTAATTTTTCCAATTTAAAAGAAGAAGGCCTTAGTCATTAATGTCATGTGCTTATTGGCTGGTTGTATCAACTTTAGGGGTGCGTTTAGTTGGGAGAAATATTTTTCCTAAAAGAATATTTTTCAATGGAAAATGATTTTTAAGAAAAGTTATCTTCCAATTGTATTTTCCGTTCGGTAGGAAGAAAAATATTTTCTTAAAAATTTAGTGTCTATTTTTAATATTTGAAAATTAACATTAAAAAAGATATTTTGAGACAATTTAATACTCCGTGAATTTTAGTAGCATGGGGGACGGAAGGTGAGAAGCTATATGGTACAACCGTATGTACCTAGAGATAGGTAAACCCGAGAAGTACTCATTATGAAGTAGAGTAGTACTCATTCTCGCACAAATATAACTATTCGTTTTGAAGTAGTGTGGTACTCATTCTAAAATAACGTAGTACTCATTCTGAAATAATGTAGTACTCATTTTTACATATTTATTCAATACAATTATAATTTTCATCCGCAAATAACGTAGTGTTCATTCTGAATTAAAATAGTACTCATTCCCAAATAACTTAATGCTCATTCTCAAATAAACTAAAACACATACCATAAATAACCTTTTCTCTCTATGCTTCTCCTACGCGACCCGACTCGACTAGGGTTTTCATCCCCACGCCTCTCCTCCGCGGCTTTCTTCCTCCATCTACTCTACCGGACCCGCAACCTCAATTTGTAACGCCGCAGCAACCTTCGCTGCTCTTTTGATCTTCCTTCTCCATCGTTTTCGCTGGATTTTCGCCACCATCGCTTCTCGTCATCTTTGCTGCTCTATCGTCTCTGGTGGCCCGACACAGAAAATAGAGGAGTGGCAATAATTGTGGCGACTTCTGCTACATCTCATTCGTTCTTCAATTAGCCGGTGGTACCGAATTTTCGGTACAACCGGATGTACGATATAATTTGCCAAGAAAGGTGAATGGCGAGAGCGGGGGCGGTTGGATGAGGTTTATGGGCGGGTAGTGAGTGACGAGGGATGATGAGTGGGGATCGGGAGCTGGGGTGGGGGTGAAGGTGGGGTGGACGTGGGACGAGGGTTGGAGGGTGAGGAGTGGGGAAGGCGGGGTGGTGGTGGATGAGGGTGGTAGTGTATGTGGGCCTAGGTAGGGGTGGTGAATGGTAGGAGTGAGGTTGGAAGGAAAAGTGGTGTGGGGTGGACGGGGGTTGGGGACGAGGGGCTTGCATGAGAGATGGGGTAGGGAAAGAATGAAGATTCTTTTGAAAGCAAACGGGAAATAAAAATAGAAAATGTTCTACTGGGCAGTGAATTCTTTTCAAAATATTTTTTTGAAACCAAACACAGAAAAATAGAATCAAATTTTGCTAGGAAATATTATCTCCAACGAAATCCTTCAAACTCAAGCTTGAAATAAAAATAAATCTAGGTGTCACCCGTTAAGAGGAAAGCTGCTCATCTGGCTTTTACCTGCACTACTGGGTACTACGTTTAGGAGGTGGGTAATGAAATTTATTTTGATGATTTCGGGTTGTGACTACTGCTTGGAACTATTTCCGTCCAAAAAAATACACCTTCACTTCACAAAGTTTCAAAAAATGTACTCTCCCTCCACAAACTAACCTTCTAGTTATCTTTTCATATTTCGATAGCTTTTGTTTAGTAGTTATCCAGTTTTGACTTTTTTCAATCAATCATTTTTAATATTTGACTTATAATTAAATAAAATATATATTATATGTTAGTAAGATAAAATAATATATAATATCATTTTTATTTAATTTGAAATAAAAGTTTATCAAATTTTGACTGAAAAAAATAAAAGATAAACAAATACTCTAGGGAGAGAGTTTCTTTTTATTTATAATTTGATAAAATAATATATTTTATCACATCTAATTTTATATATAAATTTTGTTCTACTTTTAAAATATATAACTTATACTACCTTTTATTTTTATATCAATTTGTGTTAAAAATAATGTGAAAAGAAATAAAACTTAAACGGTTTTAAATAAGAGGTTAATTTGTGGATAAAGATAGTGGCAAATAAAAAACCTAGTCAAAACCAATTAATTTAAAAATTAAAGAACTGTTAAAATATACGGAGTATATCTTTTTATTAAAAAATTGAAGAAATTGAAGTTTATTTTGGAACAAAAGAGAAAAGGAAATAAAAATTCTTTTAGGGTATGTTTGGGAACATATATTTGGATTTCAAATCCGAATTTAGCTCAAATTACATGTTTGAAAAACTTAAAAAATTTGAATTTGGATTTAAGTCAAATTCTTCTCGTTCAAAACAAAGCTTAATTTCAAATCCATGCTCCTCCCCTTGTCATTTGAATTTCAAGATTTTAAATTTTGGAATTGAAATGCATGAACTGAAATGAAATGCTAGTTGCCAAACACTACCTTAAAAAATAGATTCTAATTAGTGAGTACACCGTCTATTTCAAATTAAGATTCCTAATTTAACCGAAGAGAGTAATTAAGAAATACGCAGTACTGCATTCAAAATTGAGTGATTAAGACTCGAGAAGATGGAGAGAAATTATGTAAACCAAATAATCATTTCTTATTTTGGCTCTTTACGCCTTAATTTTAAACTAGAATCTTGCAACAAGAGTCTTGAGACTGATGTCTAGAATAGGGAGGGCCGAATAACTAACTGGAAATAAAAGATGAATATAAAAAGGCCTTTGTCTATTCATACCATTGTACTATACACAAATTGGATAAAAACAAACTGGGAATTCTCTCTATAATTCACACATACAACTCGCTAACTAGAAAGGCAAAATGGGGAGACAAAAGATAAACTCAAACAACGGTGGCACGCACACGAAAAGTAATGAGAGACTCACCTCAGACTCCGCACATCAGATAGCAAATGTAATAAAAAGCTTCGTCACTTGCAATGGCGGAACCTGCAAATGTGCAAAACCTCACCAGGCTCCAAGTGACTGGCTGATCACATTTACGGTCCAAATAAAGGAAACACATGAACAGCTGCTGGCACATTAAATAAAAAAGGACACTATTATGATATGCCTTGGAAAGACAATCTATCTCGAAGCGAGTCAAAAATGGCAGCAGCAGCAGCATTTTGTGAAAATGTCATCTTCAGCCGGCCAAGCAGTTCCCCGTCTTTAGCCTGAGATGCAGCATCTGCAGCCTCCTTTGCCATTCCAATTTGAGCGTAAGCCTGTTCATATAATGGACACACCGAGAGATGAACGAAAAGGAGAGTTTGGTTGAGGCCTTTTTATCCTTTAATATGGTGCTTCCAGCTTTAAACATCAAACAACTACCTCTACATGTTTTTCTATTTCTTGCCTTAAAAAAAATATTTCTGACAGTAAAAGAGCTCAACATTTACCTCTGCTCTTTCCCGAGGATCAGGCAGTTTAGGTATGTACTTGAGTGCTTCCCCCTTCTCACCCGCTTCAACGCATGCCTCCACAAATGGTTTGTAGCCTATACATAGCAGTGAAAAAAACGGGGGAAAAGGTTTTTTACAACATATATCCAACTCAACTATTCCCCAAGCATAGAGAATTGTAGACATTTGCACTTCGCCTACTGATAAAAAGCGAGAAAAATGCAAATCGTATTATTGGCACTAAATTTCACGCCACCACACTGTAATTCTCCATTCCCAGATATTTTAACAACAACAACAACAACCCAGTTAAATCCCACAAGAGTAGGGTCTGGGGAGGGTGTGTGTATGCAGACCTTGCCCCTACTTGAAAGTAGAGAGGCTGTTTCCAAAGAGACCCCCGGCTCAACGTCGAAAGTTGCATTGCTTGACTAACTGCTACTTCATTAATTAAAGAAGCGCAGACAGTTTAGAGATCCATTTTGATTTATTCCATCACACCCCAAAGCCAAAAAATGGTGAAATTTTGGCTCCATCGGAGATGATGGAAATCATTCCCAGATATTTTAACATTTGACTCNGAGTAGGGTCTGGGGAGGGTGTGTGTATGCAGACCTTGCCCCTACTTGAAAGTAGAGAGGCTGTTTCCAAAGAGACCCCCGGCTCAACGTCGAAAGTTGCATTGCTTGACTAACTGCTACTTCATTAATTAAAGAAGCGCAGACAGTTTAGAGATCCATTTTGATTTATTCCATCACACCCCAAAGCCAAAAAATGGTGAAATTTTGGCTCCATCGGAGATGATGGAAATCATTCCCAGATATTTTAACATTTGACTCAAAATGTGTGGAGTTTTGCATTTGTTGTATAGTTCAAAAGCCAGAAAAAAAATATAATATATATGTGCCTCCACTAATTTCATGCCACCTATCCATAGTGCGAAATGGGAATCAATATGTTGTTGATCATGACGAGCCCATGAAACAAGGGTTGGAAAAAAAATTTAGGTTTATCTAGTCTCAAGTAGACATCCTCCCTTTCATTTATACAAACCTATATTCCCTATTCAATTCCATTTCCTGCCAAGTTCGCATTGGATTCTCTTCTACAAACAAATACTCCCTCCGTCCGGAAAAGAAGTTCCCGGTTTGACTATTTTCCATTTTTAGTGGAAGTTGATTTTGTCTACAATTTGTCCAAAATGCCCCTAAAGCCCAATCCTTCACAGCAACTGATTGCTTGCCGCACCAAACAAACCCCTAGCTACGGAACTCATTGCCGCACCAAACAAATCCCAGTGCGACGGATCTACTGCACAATCCGAGCAATCTCTCCCTTTCTCTACTGCACAAACCAGGCCCGAAAAAAACAAGAACCAAACTCTCATTGCGGCACCAAACAAATCCCAGTGTGACGGATCTACTGCACAATCCGAGCAATCTCTCCCTTTCTCTACTGCGCAAACCAGGCCCGAAAAAAACAAGAACCAAACTCTGAGGAGGAGGAGGAGAACTATTTGTTCTATTCTTTTTCAATTACTTCCAAGCTTTTCTACCTATTCTATTAGCAGTTTTCAATTACATTTATTTCCAAATTAGCATTAGAGTCTCTTCTACAAATAGATCGTAGATTTATTGATCTCTTAAGTTTGCAAGTTGAGAATCAGAACATCAGTAAAGCTTTCATTACGAATCTATTTGCTCTATTCGATTTGAATTACTTCCAAAGTTTTCAACCTATTTTATTTGATCTATTCAATTTCATTACTTCCAAGTTCGCATTGGAGTATCTTCTAAAGACCGATACTTAATAAATTTATTGATTTCTTAATTTTGTAAGTAGAGAATTAGAGCATTGCTAAACGCTTTCATTTATGATCCAAGCTTTTCTACACACTCTATCCGCCTAGAAATACAAAGTTTGAGTTTAAGTGAAAGTGAATCATCTTAACCTCAATATTAAATATTCATAAAATTGGCAACACATAACACACAACTTTGAAACAACCCTAATCATTAAGTTGATGTCTCTTTCTTGACCTGGACCTACCAAAACTTCAAAAACTTACCAATTGGCGGCCTTTTCTCTTTTGAGAACTTTTCCAAAGCATCCCAATCTCGTACAGTTGCCAAAGAAAAAACTTTCAGCCAATACCACCTCTTTTCTGATACCTGGATTAGACAGTGCCATAGTCATTCCATTGCAACCTCATATATATATATATATATAGGGATTGACTCCAGTGAGATGACACCTTACGGTGAGATGACATGCTTTGGTCAGATGACACAAAACTCACCAAAGACAACTACACAACTCACAAAACTATAAGGCAAAGCTCGCCATATTTTTTCAACACTTTGAATTTTTTTTCAAAAAATAAAATCAAAGGAAGGGGTGCTGACTGGACTTTGACTGTTGACCGCCGCCACTGGCCGCCGCCCGCCGTCTCCGGGCTCCAGCAGCCACCGCCAGACTCCGGCGGACACCGCCGGTCGTCTCCGGTTTCCGCCGCTGCTCCGCCGCCTGCCGCCGCCGTTGACCGGTGGTTGATCGGTGTTGCTATTTTATTTTTAATTAATTTTTTAATTTACAAAATCTAAAAAAAAAAGTGAGTTTTGGGATTTAAAGTGGTGAGCTTTGCTGTAATTCTAGGTGAGCTTTGCATTGTCCATTGGTGAGCTTTGTAGTGTAGTGTGGTGAGCTTTGCGTCATTTGACCGAAGCATGTCATCTCACTGTAAGGTGTCATCTCACTGGAATCAATCCCATATATATATATATAGACACACACACACACATATATATGGTTCTTTCAATCCCATTTGGTAGGCTTCAGTTTTGGCTTACAAGCACATATTTTCACCAAAACCCAACTACTGTCGTTGTGGCGGCTTAAAACACTTTTAATGGAAAAAAAATTAGTGTAAGAGTAAAACTCTTTAAGGATTGGCTAAAAGACTGAAATAGTGAAATGGCCACTTTTTAGCTACAAACCAAACCAAAATGAACAAAACCCAACACACTCTGTATATCCCACCCGGAACTAGGGTCTTAAGAGGGGAGGATATAGGCACACGGAACACCTCATACTACCCCAACAGAGTAGAGAAGTTGTTAAAAAGATTGAAGCCCCAGCGAGTGTGAAGGTAGTGTAAATCACGTACAAGAACGAAAGTAAGCAAAGAGAGGGGTAATCAGAGAAGCATGAAAAAAAGCGAAAACACAAGGCAGCAAAAAACAAAAACCCAAGAAAGCAAAACAACCGGGGGGGTTTAATTTGGAGATCTTAAATACACCTTTGTACCAGAAAGTTGTGCTAGTTATGCGCATAATTTTTAGTAAACTAAAAGCTATGTGGTTGAGATTTATACAGAAGAAAGAGGAACAATGTGACCATATAAAACATTTCATTTATAAAAATATGCATTTCTTAATTCTTCTAAGAACCGACCAAAACGGAAAACAAGCACATCTTTTTGGTACAGAGGGAATATATATTTAAATATATATTTTAATCATTCTTAAATTATAAGCAAATCAGCCAATGCAACCATTCCAACTTCACCCATGTTAAGACTTCCCAAACAGGGTATTCTTCTTATGGCCTAACGGCCCATACAAATATACTCCCTTCATCCCCAAATAAAATCTTCCCCCTTTCCTTTTTTGTTGTCTTAGAAACTTCTCATTCCTTAAAATGAATGAAGTTAGTGGTCCACATTAATCTCCCTCTTCATAAATCTCAGCCAAACCATTTTACTTTTTCTTAAACTCTGTGAAAAAGCAGAGAAGATTCTTTTGGAACAGAGAGTATAGGGTTGAGCACTAGTCCAGGAACGGGACCGGACCGGAACTATAAGTTTAGAAAATCAAGAAGTGAAGACTGGACCTAAATAAACCCGGACCGAACAGGACCTGAAAGTCCTGTCCGAACCAGTACTTGACCGGAATAGAAGTTACTCTCTTTTAAAAATAATTTTTTTGTACCTTCTAACATTTAATATTTTGAGATAATAGTATGCATTTTTCTAATTTGCATATGTTATTAAAAGTAAAAAGAAATCATAGAAATATACACATCCTACATTCCTACTAAACATGTTCGAATAGTACTACTTTTTTCAAAGAGTATCCCTTTCTTTTTTGTAGATTTGTTTAAAAACAAAATTTTACTTTTCTAAATACAAAAATACAATTGTAATGATCTTGAAAAATGAAATATGGATAAAAATATTTAACTATACATGATACCCCCTCCGTCCCCCATAGATCTTCCCATTAGCCCTTCTTATTTGTCCCCCATAGATCTTCCCATTAGCCTTTTTAACATTTAAAATACCACAACTACCCCCACTTTATTTATTACACCTCACCACCTCATTTGATATACTCTACCCATTTTCATTAAGGATGTTTTGGTAAACTTTCACATTTTTTCAACCTCCTTAAAACCCACAAAAAGTCAATATGAGAGCGACTTAATGGGTCAATGGGAGTATTAAAAATACAAAAAAATATGTTATATAAATTCCAGTCCGGACAGGAATATTTCTGGACCAGAACCTGAAATGTTGAAAAGCATGGACCTGAGACCGAACCTATTTTAAAAAGGTCTGTTTGGTCTAGAATAAACAATCCGGATTGGTCCGGGTCAGTCCGGACCATAGTCACAGAATTCGCTCCCAGAGCCGCGACTTCCATATTGGTACAAGTCGTACCCAATCGCAAATCGCTTGGGATCCGATCGCAACCAGTACGGCAATTCAAGTCGCAATGGTACGGCGATCCAAATCCCCAGGTACGTTGCACCCATTACCGGCGGTGCAACGTACCAGTGGCGACTTCCTCAACTTCCTTTTCCCAACGAAACAACAGCGACTTCCTCTTCCCAGTTTGCAACTTCCCCTCTTCGACGATTTCTCTTTCCCAAGTCTCCGTAAATTGAGTATGTTCCACTTCCCAGGCACGTTCCACTTTCCCAATTAAATATTTCTCTTTCCCATTCTGCTCATTTAATATTTAATTTAAAATTCAATTCACAACTAGATATTATACTTATTTTTATCGATTTTTGTTTACTTATGTTTTGATTTTTGGTACGCCAAACCGAATACATGGTACACCGTACCGCTTCGTACAGAAATGAACCTACTCCCTCCCCTTTGTACCGAATTCGTTACCTCTAGCGAATTTCGTACCCAAACTGAAACGTACCGCGATTTATGTGACTATGGTTGGGACCAGAATATGCTTAGTCCTATAAATAGAGTACGCTTTCGAAAAAGGATATGACCTTGAATTCGGTTTTGACTTTCATCGCAGCACGATGATTCCCCAACACAATACATGTACGGATTGTGTCACTGATACTTGAATCCACAAATATGGCCTGTTTAGTTGTCACCTCCAACTCATGTTGTATCCTGCCACGATAATCAAGCCTATTAGTTGTAGAGTTCATATTCTTTGTTACTCCCTCCATCCCAAAATAAAGTCAAAACTTTGATCTCATGGTGTTTTAGGTAAGATATTTATTTGGATTTGACTTTCCCATATTGCTCCTATTTTTAAGTGGGATGGGTTAAAAAAAGGTGGGTGGGTTAAGAAAGTGTGTTAAAGAAGTAGGGTGAGTAAGAAAAGGTGGGTGGGTTAGAAAAACGTAATTAAGGGTATTATAGATTTTTTACTTAAGGTAGTTGCCATAAAATAAAGTGTAAAGTTTGTTTTGAGATAGCCCAAAATGGAAAGTGTAAACTTTCTGTTATCGATTACCAATAATATCAGAGACAAGCTTTATCAAATGTGTCATCCTGAGATGATATTTTTGTTTTTGGATTCTGCTGTCAACTTGTGCTATTGGGTAGCCATGAAAACACCTTTTATTTGACCTTTGTGCCAATGACTATGAAAATGGCATTATGCCATAGGCCTTAATTAAAATAAATACCAACAGCTTAGTTACTGAATACTGTTCCGTGGTTCCAGTGAAATAAGATAAAGAACTTCAAATAGGCATAAACATTAACTTAACATAGACAGAAAAAAAAAACACCTTAATAATTTTGCATGCTCCTCGGCTGCCTTGGACTCAAAGATGTATTCCTTTGTATCAGCAAAAAGGTTACTGGCCTTCTCAATTAGTTTTATTCGAGGACCATATAGCGGAGATCCTTTGCTGGCCATTGGATTCTTTGCCAATTTCCATGATTCTTTCCATAAAAGAAAAGCTACATCCTGAGAAATGAAACCTTGTCAATAGAAAAGTAGAATCCAGTGCTATAAAGAAAATGATTCACATGTGAATATAAGTGCCAAACTTAGGTCCCTGAAAAACTAAATGCAGCACACATGACACATCACATTGAAAGTAATGAAAGAAAAAGAAGCTTTGGAATGTGAACCTACACAAACAGTGGAAAACACTTCACATTTTTATCAAAACACAAACAGATCTAATTCAAAGGCGCCACTCGCCAAGTGGTGCAACCTACAACAATCCAGTTGGATCCCACAAGAGCAAACCTTGCCCCTCGAGAGTAGAGAGGCTGTTTCCAAGAGACCCCCAACTTAAGCAGAACAGATAAAAGAACACAGAGTAGAAAAGCACAAAGCACACAACACACCGAGACAAAAGTGGTGCCACCTAATAAAATAGAAATGCAGCTAGAAGAAATACTCAAGTTGAAATAAATACAGCCCTCCTTAATATTGCCATTTAGAACAGAATTAGAATAAACTTCCTCATTACACACAGTAGCTTAATGAAACTTGCAAGCACTGAGCAAAGAGAAAAGAATGGTTGTGCATCACTACGTCAGTACAAATACATAAAATACCGAATAAGTAGGTATTCTATAACATTGATACATTGCACTATTTTGTAGAAGAAAGAGGACCTGTGAATCTAATTGACTAACCTGTAGTTGTCCAGTAGATAGGAAGAAGTCCTTTAAAATTTCATGCTTGTAAAGCCTAAATCCTCATGATACAAGGTGGGAAAATGTTAATAAAGATGTACAGAAAAGGATTCTGATGACAGAGTGAGTCCAATGTTGCATCTTACCGTGCATAACTAATAAATAGATCACGTGGTAGTGGTCTGGACTGTATAGTACTAAAGAACTCCAAAGCTGGTCTCTAAGATAACAGGCCACACACAACGGATACAGATCAATAACTATAGAGCTGCAAGTTACTGGAGACAGGATAATCTAAAACTATGATGGTAACTACTTTTAGACTGTAGAATACCTTTTGCCAAATATGGAGGAGGACTAGATAAACAAGATCTGTATCACCACTTTTGGTTGCTTTTATGAGAGCAGTGTCTTCCTCTCCTATACTCAACAACAGAGGAACCTGAGGGAATATGATTATAGAATTAAATCATTCAATTTGTAAAGTGGTGTTTCTTTCTGCAACTTTTTTGCCCAAAAAAGAGGTGCTATCAACACTCAAAAAAGAAGATGAAAATCTGATCCAAATTAAAATACAGATAAAGCAATTTAATAGGACAACTTAATTCCTAAATGGAATAGAAAGTAACAAATACAATAAAAACAAACCTGTTTAGATGAGCGTGGTTCGTGTTCAACAAGCAGAGCAGCTAGTTTCCGTCGACTACTCTTATCAGCATGTGCAGCAACTGCAGCATAAGATATGCCTTTGCATAACTTAAGCTGAAAATTCCAACAAAAAACACACTTAAACTATTCATTTCTGTTCGCGCTTACTGATAGGTTCCGAACTGGTTGACTAAATGAGATTGCAGATCTGCAGCACTTAATTGAGTGATTATTCAATTAATTGTTGAGTTTCTTTTTTTATTTAGTAATTAAGTAATCCCACTCAGTGGGAAGTTTGAAGCCAGTTATTCCCACTTAATTAGTGGGAGGTTTGGAGTAAATTTTTCCAAACTTAGTGGGAGGTTATAGAGTAAGTTATAGCTAGTAATAGGACATTATAGTCCTTTTGTATTGGTAGACCTTGGTAATGTGGAATGGAGTATCGAAAAATAGAGAAAATATTATTCGGAGAATCTCATAGAAATCTTCTTAGGCAAGATTTAAGGGCTTTTAGTAGATTATTTCATTATTCTTATTGTCTGAATCTTGATCTTAATCTTGTCAACTGAAACTGGTGTAGCATACCTATGCCAACCAATGAAATTAGGAATTCAACAGTTTCACGGATGTCAGGAGGCTAGAATGTATTTAAAAATAAAAAACCTTATCAAGTAGGATTTCTAGAAGATTATCATCAGGGATTGAAGAAGATGTTGTGATCTTCGTACACGCCCAGTGCATAATTACAACTTCCTGCACAGCCAAAAAGATAAAATCACTTGTGCAGAAGAAAACTCGCACCTCTAGAACGATATTAAAACAATAAACAGAACTTAAACCTGTAAAAGAATGAGAAAAGTGTTGCATCATGATGAAATGTGTAAACCAAAATGTGTAAAGTAAGTCAAAATTACCTTATTTATACCAAGATACTCTGATATTCGCAGTGCAAGAAGGTGATGGTGAGCATTAATTAGACGAGCAATTAGAACTGAGGGTGTAAGCATCTGCAGCACAAGAGGCACTTTCGGTAAGTAAAAATTCAGATACAACTGCAAAACTGAGGTAGAAAACATAAAATACCTTGTATTGCTGAACACTAAGAGGAATACCAATATCTGGGTGCCGTACAGCATTTAAAACTCGTAAGGTTTTACACGTCTCTTGAATTTGGTCACGCTGAAAATGGCTACCAAAGCCAACTGAATGCAGTTAACAGGAGAAGAAATCAGAAAAGAATATTCTCTTTATATCACATAACTTAGCAATTTAAGATTGATGAAAGCCATAAGATCATAAAAAAACTGATGCCCCGCAAAAGTGAGCCCAAAGAACATAAAACATTAGAACTATGCACCGAATGGTAGTTCGAGTGCTCCATTGGTGCTTTTAGCAATGATTAAGTCTAAACAGTTTCATTAAACATTTGCAAAATAAAAGGACCGGTCAGCAGTCAATTTCAATGAAACATTTTGACCTCTGCAGTTTCACTTCTTCAAAAGTTTGAAGTTCGAACCATATAAGAGTATAAGATCGCAACCATGAAAAGATCCTGCATGAGATCATTCTTTTCTCTACCCTTTTCATTTTAAAAATACAATAAATATGTATAATGTATCACCTTATAGTTTTGTGTCTGGAGGAATGGACCTAAATCCCTTTGATAATATTCCTTGTGCAGACTTGTATGTATATCACATAAAAACATAGACTACTCACCAAGCCACTAACAACAAAAGCAACCTAGTAGAATCTCACGAAAGTAGGGTCAGGGGAGGATGTGTTCACCAAGCCACTAAGGATTACTAAAAGATATAACCATCAAATGAAGCCACTGAGCATAGTCGAATAACATGCAACTCATTTTTTGAATGCCTACTAATTTCATTGATTGCTTACAAAGGATATTCTAATCAATAAAATATACCAACCTGCAAAATGCCTGACCATAGCTAGCAGCTCTTAACAAGGTACGCTGCTGCAAAATATCAAATTCATTTCCTGCTGCATCAATGCATGCTTCAACAGCTTCAGGCAACGAAGAGCGGATTAACCTCAAATTCTCATCTGCCTGGTGAATGATGAACCATACTTTATTGGAGAACGAAATCTAAACCTTAACCCTCAGATATGAACGATACAGTGAGCTAAATACATCGTGTGGAAGCGCATATACATGAAAAGTATTGATGGCACCTATATTAACATGTTCCATTGCAGCCAAGAATATACCTTGGCACTCCTCCTGTCAAAATGATCCAGTGCATCATAAAGTAAAGCAGCAGGCATTGTGCTCCCAATTTGAAAGATAGAGACAGTGGAATCCGGCACCCTGTGCAGAAACTCCATACTTGTGCCCGATAGTATTCTAACCCCATCACACTCTGGGATCAGTCGAACTTGTTCATCATAGATGTAGTGTACTGGATCGCCATAAGGACCCACCATTAAAAGCATATCATCCCAGTAAAGCAATATAGTATCCATTCCACACCAACACAACTGATCAGGAGGTAGGACTGACTATACACAAGAAAATGAGAAAAAACAACAAAGGATAAAGATATGCTTCATCAATTCAGGACAATAAAGAAATGGGAAATGAAAATACTGAATCCTGAAAATAGATTAAGGATATGTTTGAGTCTCTAGGGGCAAAGTATCTTGCCAGAATTATTCCCCATGTTCTGCAAAGCCAATAACAACTTTCATCTAGTTGATCATGTTATGTTACTAATGACAATAGCTGAAGGACCTCTAATATTTTGGAAATAAGTTGAAATAGGTGTCTTATATAGTTATATAAGAATCCAATAAATCCTGCTACGGATAAACTTATAAAGTTCAGTGATGCTAATAATATAGTATGGTGTTGGAAATGCCTGGAAGAATCTTCTTTAACACTGATCTCTGGCATCTTCTCCTTTAAACCTTGTAGCATACAAGTTTCATTACTCCGGATGTTTTTTTTCCAACAAAAACCCTCTGTCAGAATATTTATAACTGACCTACCACAAATCATATACTTCACCCCCACTAGAACTACATCATATCATCAACTAGCTAAAGGTTCATGTACCAATGATACTGAGTTACCAGGAAAAATTAACTATGCAATTTGTGGTACTAGATTTTCCAGTCCTGCTCCTGAGAATTATTGGGCCCGGGGCGCAAAGAAAAAAGGGCCCTTACGGGAATTATTGAATTTTTAAAAAGAAAAAAATAATTAAAATTGAAGCTCAATATCTACAAAAGTAAATATTTTCAATACATAGGAAAAACTATACAAAACTAAGGGGGTGTTTGACACTGTAGTGGGCTCTTTGAAAAGTAGAAGTCAAAACGCAAAAGCCAAAAGTATTTAATCCCAAATTTGCCAAAAAGCACTTTAAGAACCCATTTTGCACTCTGAAGTCATACGCCATAAACAGAATCAAGTTTGTCAAACACACAAAATTGCTTTTGAACGAAGTAGAAGTTCAAGCGTTGTTTTCTAACACAGTGCCAAACATCCTCTAAATAAAAAGGACTATAGTGTTCCAAGTGACACAAGCTGACATTTGTACTGGAAACTTGGCATTCAAAAGGACTAATGCAGTACTAATGATACTCTTGTAGGACAATTATATACCTTCAAATATCTAGGGCTATGAGTGATAGATAATTTTTGGCTTAAAAGTGTATTTCTTGGCGGACCTACTCATAACACTATAATAAAATATTTGGGGCCTATCTGCTTCACAGCAAAGAATATGTTTAAAATATAAGAAATTGTAGTGTTTGTTGATCATAATATCGATTTGATCAGAGTTATAAATTATAATTCTCTATAAACTGTGAAATGTTTCAAAACATATGATGCATATTAAGGCGGTTTTGGTTGTGTGAGTCTAAACAGTACAAAAGAAATGTAACATGTTAATTAAAGGGTGATGTGTACCTGTGAAGTTATTTTAAAACCCAGAGGATTGAATCATAAACTGGCATCTGACACTTGTGAATCTATAAACTGAATTATAAGCCCTCCGTCCCAAATTAGTGTTCCCATGTTAAAAAGATATTGAAACGTGAAAAATAAATGGTTAGAATTTGTTTAGAAGAAAGAAGTATTTTGGATCACATTTTCTTTTCCATAAAGGGAAAGAAAAAAATGGGGAAATATATTTTTGAGGACGAAAAACGACAGCTGGGAAACTTTTGTGGGATGGAAGGAATATACAGTATCTACGTTTTCCCCCTTTTAAAGACTCAAATCCTTCTTCAAATGTTGCAGATAATAATGAACGGTCGGTTCATGAGCAACAAAGAGGCTGACAAATCACTACCTTTTAATACAGAGTATATATTTTCTTTACATGTTTTTAAATAATTTTTCTTATTACAGACAATTCTGATTAATAACAGTAAAGTTATGAAGATTTATGTTACACAATCAACTTATAAGTGTATAATTAGTGTGTAATGTTCATATCCCCCTTGCTTTCATTTAATGACACCCATATTGTACTCATAATTAACCCATATTAGACCCATAAATTTAGGCGGGAATTTCAGCTAATTCCTAACTGTTTTTATATACTCCGTATAGTATAAATTTATGTGTGTAACTATCAGTTTTATTTTTTTACCAAACCAAGTTTCTTCTGTAAGAGATAAAGTCCCTTTGCTAGGTAAAACAAAACCCTTAACATTATGTAGAACCAAGCAAAAATTGGTACCTATATAAAAACTCATTAAAATCATTGGTATCTTCAACCTTTAAATAATCTAAGATCACCAAAAATTTGGATCTTTTCCATTTTGTTAACAAAATATCTACAATATTCATTTATCGAGCAAAAGAGCACAGTATGAATATCAAAGAACTGGAAAATGAATAACAACCTCACAAGTGTAAACGGGCTTAATGTTGGAGAAGTCCGTGGACATGACAAGAACCCTCCCATCACGTGTAAAAGATGCGAGCAGCTTGCCGTTCTGCGAAACCACCATCTTCTCTAATGGCCCAATTCCAGCACCCATCTGCTGAATCCCGTCCTCTTCCACCAATAACACCCCATCCCCTACCGCCATCAGCACTTCCACATTTCCAGACATGGTATACTGAGGCTCAATCACCGCCATAGAGAGTGGAAGAACCTCCAAACCGGGATCTGCCAGCTTGATAGGGCTTGGATTCTTGAAATCGGGCACGCAGAAGACCTGAAACGCCCTATTGATGCAAACTACGCCGTTACTCCAGAACACACAGTCTTCCACACTGTGCGTGAAGCAGTCAGTGCCAAGGGATAGCGGTTCTAGAGGCTGTGCGTGGATATCGTACCGGTAGATAGTACCATCCTGAGTAATGCAGATCAGCGTCTGGTCGTCTGTCCAGGACATGCCGATGAGGCGGCCGCCAGGGTTCTTCCAGACGGTTTCAGCTATGGAGACACCGGCGGAGTTGAATATGCGGAGCTTGCGGATGGCGGATTCGGCGTAGAGCTGGACGATCTTGTCGTCATCGCGGATAACGGCAATGGGGCCGCCGAAGGGGGAGCAAGCAACCTTGTTTTGCATTAGGTCCACGTTCTTCCATTGCATCTGATAGAGCTCCGGTTTCCTGTAATACCGATTGTAGAGGAGCTGCCATTCGGCCGCCACTGATACTGCCGTGGCCATCGCTATCGACTGGCCGGACGGTGTACCTTATCCGATCGCCTATGATTGTCAATTTTGACGACAAGATGCTTGTAGGGTGGTGTTCACGAGCCGGGCATAGCAGGAACAACCGCGGGGTAAGAAAATGGACCGAATAGCTTTACGCCTTTGCTTTTTTGGCTTGTTTGGGAAATGGGAATAAGTAGAGATTGGTGTTAGCCTTTTGGATAGACTATCTACGGCGCGTTTTCAAAGTAATCTGCGCCGTTAAAATTTTATCCAAAACGCTAACGCTAATCTCTAACGTTATTCCCAAACAGGTCCTTTATAAATTTTGCATTTGATCCTTCCCCTACCCCGAGTAAATAGCCCGCTGTCTAGCAAATATGCAATTATGATGACTCCCTCCCAAAATATTTACAACATTTGTTTTTTCATCAGTCGCGAAAATTTTTGTTTATATCTACGTTTTCATTGGTTATTTAATAAAATAAAATATTCTTGACACCTCTTATTTCGAAGAACTTTACATATAGTTTTTTGATATGTAAATTTTATTTTTTATTTTTATACCAATATATAAATAAAATTATTAAAAAAAACTTGATATTTTACCTCGGGAATATAAGTGTGACAAATATTTAGGGACGGAGGGAGTAGCTTAGAGTACTCATTTCGTATTAAAGTAGTATTCATTTTGTAATAAAGTAGTATTCATTTTCGCACAAAGCGTAAGTGTTCATTTAAAAATATTGTTGATGGTGTAAATTATTTCGACCGAATTATTATTCTTAGCCGGGCAAAAATGATAAACTAGTCTAAGACAATACATCAAAATAAATACGGGGATCTTGACATGGAAACCCAATCGAGAGAAAACCACGGGCCTTTTTTGCGGTACCTTGCAAACGAGAGATTTTTATTAATATCGGAGTTTGTACACGGTACATAATATTGGCTTAAAAGCCATTAATGGAGAGCTTCTAAGCTCTTAAAGAAGAAGAAGAAAACATACTCTACATATTCTAGAGTGAAAATTTGGCCGGGGAGGAATGAAATTGGTCCCTCAACATTGAAGGTAACCCTTTCTTTTATAGGAAGCATCTTTTGAAAAATATTTTCTTAATCATTAATTTTACTAAATAGACCCGGTTCGGTTATTGTTCATAAATTATTGGGAAATGTGAGCTAAACCACGTAGTATTTCCAATTAAGAAGTCCTCCACTTTTTTAAGTTTGTGAGAATCATCTTACCATATACAAAGCAAAAAGAAGCAAGAACAGTGTTCCCGCCTAAACATTGTTGTGCAGTAGCGGGCCTAGCTTCGGGCTACTAGACAGGATCAAATCATAAATTTCAGCTGAAATTCATCACATCAACCAAAACTTAGAGCTTATTTACAATACATGCCTATAATAAGAGTATTATAAATACACATCATTGGTTTTCCCATTCTCACTGCATCATTCTTTTCCATTCTCACAACTTCTCTATTTTTCTTCCAATAACACCACTCATATCAATGACAGGGGCAATACTATTTTTTCAAAGAAGTAAACAACAAGAACGTCATTGTGCTATTAGAGTCCATGTAGTCTCAACCTTCCTAAGTTTACCCTTTGCTTCTTGAGAGAAATATTTGAGCTTCTTTTTCATGACAACATGACTATGCAATTATATGTAATATATTATTCATTTCTTATGTGTGTGTGTGTGTTAGTTTCGTATGTATGTAAACTATATAATATATATTAAATAAATACTTTGTATTCAATATTCTAGATTTATATGTAGATATAATATTTTGTTGAATTTATATTTACATCTACATAACTATACAATAGTAAGATATATATATATATATATATATATATATATATATATATATATATATATGTGGGTGGGATCAAGTGAGAATAAGTTGTTGTGAAAGAAATGAGAATGAACTAGATCCATTAGATTTACTCCATCGTGCGGTCTCCAATATGCAACATAAAGTACTCCCTCCGTCCCATATAAAACTTCCCATTTGGAATAGTCCCCCAAAATAAGGAGGGGATATTTTGGCTTTGAGTTGCCCAAAATACCCCCCCCCCCCCCACGCCCTAAATGAAAAAGAGAAAAGTGTAAGGAAAGTGGGTGTACTTTTTTTAATTAAATAAGGGAAAGGAAACATATCAAATCAACACAATCATTACACCACTATTCATTACAAATGACATTTAAATTCTTTAGTCATGCAGGAGGGAAAATTTTTTGGGAAATTTTTCATTTCCCTCCAATTACAACAAACCCAAAATAGGAATACTTCTATAAATAGAAAGCATTGAATGCATTCCATGCATTCAATGCTTTCTTCTTTTTTTTCTTCTCTTCTTTATGGAGTTTTCTTCTTTATCTTTATCTTTTGATGAGCAAGCCCCACCGGAATCAGGGGATGATTCTGCCAGTGAGAACCACCCCCACCCTCCACTTCTCCAAGTCCCCTTCCTCAACCCTGAAACCCCTACAGATATAGAAGAAAACGCAACACATTCATGAGAAAAACAAAGCGAAAGAAGAAAAAGAATAGTGGATAGGTTACTACAGTCTTAGAAACGCGACAAACTTCATCTTGGTTGCATTAAAGCAGTGGCTGGAGAGTTCAACATTTCCAGAAAAACAGTTGGGAAAATATGGTCTTTAGCTAGTGGTCAAATGCAGGATGGTCTACCAGTTTGTGTTCAATGCAAAAGGAAAGGGAACTCTGGCAGAAAAGAAGTGCCTGCTGACATTCCAAAGATGTTGGCAGTTCCATTTCATAGGCGCAAGAACATACGTGCCCTTGGCTATGCAATGGAAGTGTCCAAATCAATTGTCCAAGATGGCTAAAAAGGAAGACCATAAGGAGACATTCCAATGCAATCAAGCCATATTTGTCAGACTTAGGTAAGCTAAAAAGGCTTAGCATTTGTTTGGACCATATTTCTCCCTCATCACTTCCATTGAACCAACATTTCACAATTTTTATGATTATATTCATATTGATGAGAAATGGTTCAATATCACCAAGGAAAAGGCCACCTTTTATGCACTACCAGAGGAAGAAGACCCACACAGAACAATCCAATCCAAAACACACATACCAAAAATAATGTTTTTAGCAGCAGTGGGTAGGCCTAGGTATGGGGCTGATGGGGGTCTACTGTGGGATGAGAAAATTGGCATTTTCCCATTCACTTTTCTTGCTGAAGCAAAAAAAGGCTTCTAAAAATAGGCCACCAGGAACACTTGAAGTTAAGGCAGTGCCAATTATAGACAAGCATGTCATGAAAAATATTTTGATTCAAAAACTTGTGCCAGCAATCAAGGAAAAATGGCCTGGACCAACTAAACATGTTATCATTCAGCAAGATAATGCAAAACCACATGTGGAAGGAAATAATCCAGAGTTTGTAGCAGCTGCACTAGAAGGAGATTGGAACATTGAACTGAAATTTCAGCCACCTAATAGCCCAGATTTAAATGTACTTGATCTGGGTTTCTTTAGGTCAATTGACAGCATTCAAGATCAATCAGCCCCTAGAAACTTAAGTGGATTGATAAATGCTGTAACCACAGCATTTGAGGATATCTCTCATGAGAAGTTGAATAATGTTTTCCTAACATTGCAAGGAGTTATGGGTGAGGTTATTAAGAACAGAGGTGGCAACAACTTCAGAATACCTCACATTGGGAAAGCAATGTTAGCTAGGGAAGGAAGGCTGCCAGAGAATATAGGGGTCAACCAAGAAGTTTATGAACATGCAAAACATTTTCTGGAAGAACAAATGTGAACTTTTTGGAAGTTATTTTTTGTATGTACAATAGGGCATGTGAAAATTACAATATTCTCTTGTACTCCCAAGTCAATGCAGAAATGTAATCAGTGTAGCATCTAACTTTTGGTTACCAGGCAGTTTGGTCAGGGTACAAATGTCAAAGTACTACTAGTTGCCTGTTTTTTTCTTTTTGCTGGGTTGTACTTTTGTTAATATGAAGTGTAGTATCTGTCTTTTGTTAAGAAGTGGAGTATCTAAAGTGTATTATCTGTCTTTTGTTAAAAAGAAGTGGAGTATCTGGTCTATAGTATATGTCCTTAAGTAGAAGAGGTGTAGTATCTTAACAAGTTTAGTTTCCAAAGTCTAGTATCAGTCCTCAAATAGAAGAACAGAAGCACAGAACCACAGAATCACAGAATCAAACTAAAATTGTGAATTTTCATAATCACAACGCACAACTTAAATCACCATAAAATACGTATCCTTTCACACTACAAAACACGGGTAGACCAAAAACAGCACACACCATACTAGCATAAATGTGGTTTCTGTAAGTCTCATACATGAAAGTGGTGATATTACAACAACAACCACACATATTCTAAACTCTTTTCAGAACATAATCATGTCTGCATCATTAGTTTGCCAAAAAAAATTAAAAATTTCTGCATGCAAGGAAATAAAAGTAGATACATCTTACTTGATTTGAAACAATTTTGTTTAGCTGGGTTTGAAGTAGCTTCTGAGAAATTGAGCTCATCCTCAGACATCTTCAAGATCTGAGCAGATGTCACAGATTCAGAGTCTTCTTCTCTATCCTCTTCTTCGTAACTCCTTTCAAGGTCAGAGTAATAAC